ATATTACGAGCGACCACTTGCAGCTGCCGCAACAATAGGACAACATAAATATGCAACTGCGCATTCATGAGCAACGTCGCAGCCTCTATAGGGCACACATGGCGGGCACTAGTGCGACGTTTGGGGAAAAAGGTGCTGTAGGATCCGCGCCGGTGACTGACTATTACGGCCCATGCAACTAACATCGCAAAGTCAGCGTCGTCACTGTCATTCATCGCCGACTTGTCAGAAACATGCGCTCGAAATGTACTCGCCTGGCCAGAACAGATGGGGCAGCATCCGCATGTCACCGTCATCGTCGTCTATACTCTGATCGGCAAGGCCATCTCCAAATTTCTCTCGACACTTGTCAGTGCAACCCATCAGGAGAGTCCGCTGAGTCCGAGGACACATCCCGACTGGCGCTGCCGCGCTGAGGATCATGGAACATCTGCTTTCGCTCCCTCCCAAGCAGCCCGACATCGATTGCGACATGTCCAGTCAACCGCAGATCGGCAGGCTAGAAATCCTGGCCAGTGCGCGCATAAGTGTCATCGATGACATCGTCGCCGCCCTTCTATTCGCCATGACGCGCACTGCGCCCCTGTCGCGCAATTTTGAAAGGGAGGGCCTGTCTCTAGGACGGAAATGATGTCATGATGAGGTTGACTCATGATGCGCGCCAGGATTTCCAGGGAGTGTTCAGCGGCCCTCGCTTCTGCAGCCCGTGTGGAGCATAATTAAGGGGATCCGGGGATCCCTGGAACTCTTGGACCGTACCGTTATCATGACCTCCTGCTGCTCTGAGTTACCATCCTTTCAGGCCCAGGTCTCCGACGTCTCGCCTGCGTGGGGCTCCACGGCTATCCGAGCCCCACGTTCGCACAAGTTTCGACGGATGTCGAGCAGATCCGTCAGTGATGAGCGTCTCGGACGACGGCAGCGATGCCACGAGCCGGTCCGCGGCTTGTAAAGCGTGCGCTTGGCCCCTTGGATTTCTCGATATCCTGAGCCACGCTCCGTGCAAAGCATCACGGTCCGACGCTTCTCCTCCTGGGCCTCCTCCAACTCTTCGTCTTCTCCCGCCTCCTGCTCCTCTTACTTCTCCTCCTCACCCTCCGAATCCTATCCCTCCGAAGCTCGTCTCCCCTTCCTCCCCAACCCTCGACGTCGGCGACGACGAAAGATCGACGACGACATTAATGGCAGCGAGGACAACGAGGAGGACCACGACGACGAACGCCAGAAGACAACAACAACGAAAGAACGAAGACGACGGACGACAACGAGGACGACGATAGACCGAAGACGACGAATGACAACAAACAACCGATGACAACGACGGCGAAGAACACGACAACGACGCCGAAAGCCCGAGGACAACGACAACGAATAATAAACCGACGACGACGGCGATAAACGACGGACGACGGACGACAACGACGACGACGACGGAGAACGATCGAAGACGACGAGCGGCCGACGACAAAGACGTCGCACTACAGACTTCGACGACGGTGGCGAGAACGACGTTGCCACCGCAGCCGTTGTCGTTCCGCCGTCGTCGCTGCTCGTAGTTCATCGTTTGTCATCGATCGTTGATCGCCATTCGTCGCTTGTCCACCTTCGTCGTTCAACGACGGCGTCGTCCTTTGTCGTCGCTCGGTCACTGCAACGCCCCAGACGTCAGGTGCTTCGACCTTTCATGCCGAGTCCTCTCTTGACGGCCCCGAGACCCTAATCGGCCCCCCGAGACCGAGAGTGGCGACAAGACCGACCGTCCCAGATTCCCACGAGGCCCCAGTTGTCCGTCTGCCAGCAGCGGCTGCGAGGCGCGCGCGCCGCGCGGCGGCATCGGCGGCGGCGACAAGGCGGCGGCAGCGGCAAGGCCGCTCGCCGCACGCTGGTCGGCGGCAGCGGCGGCGGCGCGAGCGCGCGCGCGCGCGCCAGCGCGCGAGTGGGGCTCCCGGCGGGGCGTACTGCTCGCGCTCGGGCTGGGGGAGCCCATGTCGGGCGCGCCTCGGCGGCAGGGGGCGCGGCCAGCCGCCGCCAAGGCGAGGGACGAGCGTCGAGAGGCTGGGCGGCGCGCGGCGATGCGCGACGACGGGCAGCGAACGACGAGCGGCGAGAGACGGGCAGCGAACGACGGACGACGACGAGCGGTGGCGAGCGGCGAGCGACGAGCGGCGACGCCGACGCTGAATTGGACGCAGACTAGAGATGTGCACATTGATTTGTCTAACAGCTAATGGTGAACACTGTAAAACATATTTTGTATAAAGAGGGAGAGGGGGGAGAGAGGGAGGGAGAGAGGGAGGGAGAGGGAGAGAGAGAGAGAGAGAGAAAGAGACACTATAATCCATATATATATATATAAGATTGATATCATCTTAGATAGCGCGAAATCCAAAACACACCCAACAACCCATACATGTAGATCGAGAAGGAAACATGCGTATAGAGATAGGTATGCAATACGTGTATACATCTGTTTTGTTTAGGCAGGCGGGGGAGGAGGACAGAAGAGGGATAGAGAAGAGAGATGAGGAAAGCAAGAGAGAGAGAGATGGAGGCACACACACATGTATAGAGAGAGGGAAAGAGAAACATATGGTGGCGTTTTCGGGCATCTGGGAGACAAACAGCACGACGAGCACCTGTCCCCCAGAAGCGGTTGAAAGCTCCAGGGCCCTCTCTTGGACAAAGGTTAAAATATCAAAGGCACGGTCTTCAACATCGAAGCACTCTGCTGGAAAGTCAGCCTTGATTAACCCACGTCTATGGCTCATCACAGGACGCAGGGCGTGAAAAGAGGATGCCAATCAGGAGGGCTAGGACCTGGAAGAGGAAGAAGACGGCAGGACAAGAAAAGAAAGGAGGAACCATATCGGAAGAAGGGAGATCGAAAAGAGCTGCTGGCCTTGATGCCGACAATACCATAAGCCAAACCCGACCTACAATATAGAAACACCTGCTCGTGCACACCACCTGATGTACAACTATATACACTACCGTGCGCGAGGCGAACTTCCGAACCGTTTTCCAGCTTCGGCGATGTGTTGTGAACCTGCTTCTGCACCTCGTCCCTATCCGCCACCGTGCCGTAGGTACTGAGTGGTGTGTCCCCAGAACCAGTGGAGACCCTCGTATGGAGTAGTGAAAATATGGCTCAGAACCGAAATTTCCAGGCCTGCCCGGGCGCACCTGGACGCTCTGGGTTTCGCCACGTGGCCTTTCCCGATGCCCTGAATGCGCTCTTGGGACGCCTTGCTTCCCAACATGCCCCGAGAAAATACGAGGGCCCATCGTGGAGGCCTGGGCACCTCGTGCGCCGTCTTGAAGGCCCCTCGGGCCGGCGCAGGAGCCCGAATCACAGAAACACATGAGGCTGCTGTATGATCTAAAAGTTGTTGGCGTCTCGATCTTCGTAGCGTCCCAGATGGCCCAAGAAGCCCCGACTATCGCCCAAAGACGGCATCCGAGGCCCAGGGGGGACCGAGAGACACCCAAGACAGCTCTAAGATTGGCTCCAAAGGAGACCGCGGCGCCGCTGGAATCTACCCCTCATTGAAGACCCCGAGGCCCCCAAGAGGCACACGAAAGGACCTCAAAAAGTCCCAAAAGAGGTTTCCGAGATGCCGCCAAGAGGTCCCAAGTGACCTCCAAGAAGCCCCCAAGAGGCCACAATGTGCCCCAGACTGAGCTATTGTCTTTGCTTTGCAGATCAGTGCAGCTGTACTGCATTGTGCTAATGGGCTTGCGTTGTCTCGATGGGCTGTGCTAGCAAATGTTCGTTGCGTTCCTTCGCTTGCGTTGCGTGGCATAGCTGTGTTAACGCGCGTTGATTTCGCAATGCGGGACTGTAGCGCTGAAGTAGCGCGCGTCGTGCTGCCAGCGCGGCGCTCGTCAATGCATTGCGTTGCGTTGTGTGTAGTTGCTTTGCGCTGCACTGCAGTTACATAGCAACGCAATGCAAACTCATCCGATGCAAACCGGGCTGGATATTGAAGCAAGATCGTGCAGATCAAAGCAACGACATGGAATGTGGTATGCAAGCCACTGCAACACGATGCCAGCGCAACGCAATGGAATGCAAACACCAGCTCAGCGCAACAATGCAAAACGCAATAACGCACTGCGAGTGGAAGATCAAAGCGTCGATCTACACTTGGAGAAGAACGCTATACAACACACAGCAGCACAATTTGGGCTGGCCGAGAAGCGGGCCCGCGTCAAAGAAGCATCCAGGCAACTGTTCGCCCAAAGCCCCCCAGTTTCTGTCCCTGTTGGGCAAAAGCCGCAGCCGTACAACAAACGCACGCGCACACAAACAACAAAGCACCACGCAAGTTATGTTTTCTGTGCTGCCTCCAAGCGGCTCCAGGTAGCCCAAGCATTCCAAGAGGCCTTCGGGATGTCCGAGGGCTAACTAAATACAGCCCCCCAAGGCTGCAACCTGTCCCAAGAAGCTACGAGAAGCTCCCATAAGCTTCCAAGAAACGCCCAGAGAGGGCTCCGGGGAGGCCCAGGTAAGCCCAACACAATGACAACTCCCAGAATTCATGCTCCTTGCATCTGGGGCTTGTCGGCTGCAAACGGCCTCACGAGAGCTTCTGGGATCCCCAATCTCCCTCGAGGTCCCGAGACGCCCCCGAAACAGCCCAGACAGGACCCAGTCGGCCACAGAATAGTGAAACCAAGCCTCTGCAGGAGAGCTTGGGACAACCATTGCGCCCAAGGCTGCCTCGACGGGCTCTCAGAATGCGCGTGAGAGAGAGCCGAGAGGTCCACAACCGGGCCAAAAGATGACCCCACGAAGCCCCCAAGATGCCTCAAAGAGAACAGAGACAGAGAAAGGAGCAATGTTGAGGAGGAAGAGCTAGCGGAGGAGGAGGAGTATAACGACGCTACGGGCAGGGAGGGGGGGCTTCAGCTCCGAGCCAATTCAAGCATGCCACTGCACTTGAGCGAGACTCAAGCCCAACTTGCTTTCTGCTGCGCTGCTGGGCCGGCACGGTGGCGGGGGTTGCCGCGGACGGCTGCGCTCGTAGGGGCCCCGCTTGGGCAGGTCATGTTTAGCAAGGCAGAACGGGGGGGGGGGAGTGGAGCACTCAGGCAGGCGATCTCTTTGACAGGGTAGTAGCTCAAACGACGATCTCTGCTTAGGAACTGCGGCTATGTCATACCTATTTGGCAACACAGCGAGGGGGGCGGCCAGGCCCCATGGGAAAAACAAGCTACAGCCCTCACATGCTCAAACCTGCAAGGCCCAAGCACTTGCACGGCACATGATGTGTGAAAGAGCGGGGTGTGCTGAAACGGATACACGGACCGATTTAAACAAAAAGTTTCAAACTCCGGACGGATGGAACCTACAGGTATGGGCGAGACTGGGGCATGAAACCAGGCGGATAAACTCCTCAGAAAGCCCGCCTCTGCATGCCAGATGGACTCAGCAGCATGGCCGGCGGCTTGCGCGGGGAAGGCATAGACTTCACTTGGTCGCAAGCTTCTTCAGCGTGTCAAGCGGCACCGACTTCGGTCGCTCGATGGGTAGACCGATGGCCCTCGCCCAAACAGTCTGAGCCATCACGCCTATGGCCCGGGAGACGGCAAAGACGACGGTATAATAGTTTTCCTCCTTGAGGTTGTAGAAGTGCATAAGCTGGCCGCTGTGTGCATCGACGTTCGGGAACGGATTCTTCACCTTGCCTTTCTTCCCCAAGAGCTCCGGGATAGCCTGGTGGAGGTGAGAAAAACATTAATCATGTTCGCCAATCGCACCGAATAGCTCCTCGCGGTCGGAAATCGAGGCACGATCACATGAATACGGGATAGCACTGATGCGTGCCGCGCGGGGCATCCACGCAACGCCACCCTGCATCCATGGAACTCCAACCGAGGAGTCCCGACCGTGAAGCCGTGGAAATGCATGTCCAGTCCACGAGATCACGGAGGCAGACCTTCCAACGATGAGTCTGTATTGGATGGGAGCGACCTTCGTTGAGCAATGCTCCCCGCTCCTTCTGTGAGAAAGCTGAGGCCGTAACCCTTGAACCCCCCCTCCTCCCCCTCTCCTCACCCTCCTCCCCCTCCCCCCCACGTTCAGGAATTGGTGCTTAATGTGTCGCGGCGGCGGCCTCGGCGACACGCTATGCCCTACCAGCGGATAGCGTGTCGCTCCGCTCCGCGCGGCGGAAGGCTAGGAAAGGCTCGGGACGTTGAAGCCTGGGAACTGGGAGGTGGATAACGTGGTGGGCCAAAACTGGCGGAGCGACACGCTATCCAACCTCTTCGCCCCCCTCCCCCTACACCCCCTCCCCCTCCGTTGCGTCGCCGTCTTGAGGCTCTCGTCGACTGATTGCGGGATGGGGTCGGGCTCTCTCCAGGACCACAAGAATCGCCTAATACGATGTTGCTGGAATCACACTGGTTCCATGACCTACGACGTCGCGATTTTTCAACGGCGTGACATAAGAGCTCTGCAACGCATCTCCATAACCGCTCTTGTTCATCACGGGTGGCTGCTCATAGTCCTGGGGCAATGAATGTAACAACACCTCGATCACCGGACCTCGACCGTCGACCCTCGGTCGTAGACTCCTAGACGACGACAGCGGCCCCCGTGTACCGAGCTAGCGAATGAACGTCGGCCATGATTGCTCTCGCGACGGCCGAGGTCCAGATCCTCCTCCTCTTCCTCCAGCCTCCGCGTCCTGCTCGAGATGATTGAGGTGTTTGGGCACGCCCTGCTCTCTCTTCGCCTCCGGACGCCTCACCCCGTCCTCACAAAATCCCGGACCGTGTTCAAAATACCATCCCGACCAATCTTCGAGCCGCGCCCATCCGAGAACACGGAAGTCCCAAAGAAGGCCCGCCAGAGGCGAAGCATTTCACATTTCTTGAAACTACCTCCTCGCTACTCGCTCCTCTTCCTCCTCCTCCTCTTGCTCTTGCGTCTCCTCTTCATCCTCAACCTCATTCCTTCTCATCCTCCACCATCGTCCTCGTCGTCGTCCTCATCTGCCGTCCTCCTGCTCCTGCACGTCGTCCTCTTCTTTCTCATCAAGATTATCCTTCTCCCTCGACCAGGTCATCGTCCACATCCTTCCCATCATCAGCACAATCGTCATCACAATCACCATCACCATCACCAACACCATGATGATCATCATCATCATCATCATCAGCATCATCATTATCATCATCAGGAGCATCATCAGCATCAACAACATCATCATCGTGATCATCATCATCATCACCATCATCATCATACTCGTAATCATCATCACAATTAATATCATCAGCATCATACTGGTCATTGTCATCATCACCAGTATCAGCGTGATCAGCATCACCATCACCATCAGTATCATCATCATCATCATCATCATCATCATCGCTACCATCATCATCGTCGGCGTCAACAGCGTAATCAGCATCACCACAGGCATCACGCTCAACGTCGGCGTCATCATCGCCATCAGCATCACCATCAGCATACACATCATCATAATCATCCTCATCATCACCACCACCATCATTATCACAAACACCCCCATCATCACCAAGAACAGGATCATGACCATAATCATCATCATAATCATCACCATCGTCATCAGCATAACCATTATGCCCATCATCATAAACATCATCATCGTCATAAGCATCACCATAACCATCATCAACATGATCATCATCACAATCACCACCACCATCATGCTCATCATCATCATCACCATCATCATCATCATCATCATGAGCATCACCATCGGCATCATCAGCAGTAGCATCATCCTCTTCCTCATCCTCATCCTCATCATAATCATCATCCGTATCATCATCATCATCCTACTACACATCATCAGTATCATCATACTCCTGATCCTCTTCCTTATCACCATGCCCATCATCCTCATTGTCCGCCTAATGCCTAATGATTGTCGTCGTCATCATCATCGTCATCGCCATCGTCGTCATCGTCAGTCATCGTGGTCAAACGCATCATCACCGTTGGCAGCATCATCATCACGATCACCATCACCATCACCATCACCATCACTACAATCATCAGCACCATCACCATCATCATCACCATCATCATCATGATCTTACTCATCACCAATCGTCATCACCAGCATCAGCATCATCATCGACACCGCCATCCTCATCCTCATCACTATCATCTGCACCATCACCATCGTCATCATCGACACCGTGGCCCTGAAATGGCCACTCGTGGCGTCACTGCCGCCGTCATGAAGCTCACGCCACACTGGAGCCGCTGGATCGGGCTCCGAACGCCCGAGAGACCCAAGACAGAAACACTCGGAGAGAACACCAGAGCTCCCTCTTTCCCTCCTCCCCGACCCAGAGAGAGAGAGAGAGAGAGAGATCTATCTATATATCGGAGGTGAGGGGGTGAGATCGAAGTGGAACGGAGAGCCACCCTACCGGGAAATCGATTTCGGTTTCGTGTTCGTGCGTGCCGTGCGTGCGGGCGAGGCGAAGCTGCGTGGGCGGGCGAGAGAAAGTCAAAGTCTCCTGTGGCTGAGGCGCGGCCGGACCAAATGTCTCCCTTCCGAGCGGCCGGTGGCCCGCGGTGTCCCGCCGGTGTCCCGCGAAAGTCCCGTGTGGCTGAGGCGCGGCCGGACCAAATGACTCCCTTCCGGGCGGCCGGTGGCCCGCGGTGTCCCGCCGGTGTCCCGCGGGGTCCCGCGGTGTCCCGCGGTGCCCCGCGGTGTCCCGCCGGTATCCCGCGGTGTCCCGCGATGATGATGATGATGATGATGATGATGATGATGATGATGATGATGATGATGAGATGATCATGATGATGATGATGATGATGATGATGATGATGGTGATGCTGATGAGGATGATGCTGCTGATGATGATGATGGTGACGTCGATGATGATGATGGTGATGCTGCTGATTATGATGAGGACGATGATGATGATGATGTGATGATGATGGTGTCCCGATGATGATGATGATGTTGATGATGATGTCGATGAGGATGATGATGATGACGACGATGATGATGCTAGTGGTGCCCCGATGATGAGGATGATGATGATCATGATGATTATGTTGGTGATCATGATGATGACGATGATGGTGTCCCGATGGTGCTGAGTATGATGATGTTGATGTTGATGATGCTGATTATGACTGTGTCCCGATGATGATGATGTTGATGATGATGAGGTTGATGATGATTATGGCGTCCCGATGATGATGATTATTATGATGGTGATTGTGATGATGTTGATGATGATGGCGCCCCGATGGTGATGATGATGATGATGTTGATGCTGATGTTGTTAATGCTGATGATGATGGTGCCCCGATGATGACGACGATGATGATGCTGATGATGATGTTGGTGATGCTGATGATGATGATGCCGATGATGAGGATGAGATGATGATGATGGTGTTCCGCTGATGATGATGATTCTAACGATGGTGATCATGATGGTGTCCCGATGATGATGGTGCTGCTGATGATGATGATGACGATGACTGTGTCCCGATGCTGCTGATGATGATGATGTTGATGATGATGATTGTGATGATGGTGAAGATGATGATGATGGTGGTGTCCCGATGATGTTGATGACCGTGATGAAGATGATGTTGGTGTTGATGATGAGGACGGTGGCCCGATTATGATGATATTGGTGATGATGCTGTTGATGTTCATGTTGTTGTTGATGCTGATGATGATGACGTTGATTGTGAAAGCGGTCGTGATATCGATAGTGAAATGGTTAGTGAGACCAATGTGATATCGATTGTGATCGATTGTGAGATCGATACTCAAATCAATTGTGAGATAGATCGAGTGAGATCGATTGTGAGATCGATCGAGGGAGATCGATCGAGCAAGACCGATACTGAGATCGATAGTGAGATCGATAGTGAGACCGATCGAGTGAGACGTTGGTTCCTCCCCCCCCGAACCTCCTTATCACCCGAAGGGTGGTCGTATAGGTATGTTTATATGTATATATAAATAAAAATGTAGATGCTATAAATATATAATGTCGGAGGTGAGAAGGTGAGATCTAAGTGGAACGGAGAGCCACCCTACCGGGAAATCGGTTTCGGTTTCGTGTTCGTGCGTGCCGTGCGTGCGGGCGAGGCGAAGCTGCGTGGGCTGGCGGGAAGAAAGTCTCCTTCGGCTGAGGCGCGGCCAGGCCAAATGATTCCTCTCCGGGGGGCCTGTGCCGCGCGGTGTGCCGCGCGGTGTCCCGCCTGTGTCCCGCCTCTGGCTGAGGCGCGGCCGGACCAAATGTTTCCTTTCCGGGGGCCTGTGCCGCGCGGTGTCTCGCCGGTGTCCCGCCGGTGTCCCGTCGGTGTCCCGATGATGATGATGATGATGATGGTGATGACGAGAATGAGGATGATGATGATGATAACGTTGATGATGTTGGCGATGATGATGGTGATGGTGGTGATGATGATGGTGTCCCGATGATGATGATGACGTTGACGATGTGGATGATGATGATGGTGATGAGGATGGCCATGGTGGTGATGATGATGCCCCGATGATGATGACGTTGATGATGTTGATGTTGATGATGATGCTGGTGTCCCGATGATGATGATGATGTTGATGATCCTGGTGATGTTGATGATGAGGCGATGATGATGATGATATGATGATGATGATGATGCTGATGATGATGACGAAAATGATGGTGATGGTGTCCCGATGATGATGGTGATTACGAGGTTGATGCTGATGCTGTTGATGATGATGGTGATGATGACACCGATGCTCCGATGATGATGATGATGATGCTGATGTTGAGGATGATGATGACGATGAAGGTGTCCCGATGATGGTGCTGAGGATGCTGATGTCGAGGACGATGATGAGGTGATGGTGATGACTTTGCACATGGTAGCCCGATGATGGTCCTGATGTTGATGATGATGGTTTCCCAGGTGACGATGATGATGGCAATGATGATGGTGACGATGATGATGGTGCCCCGATGATGATGATGATGGTAGTGATGACGATGATGATGATGGTGTCCCGATGATGATGATGATATAGATTATGTTGTTCATGTTGATTATGAGATGATGGTGATGCTGATGATGATGCTGGTGTTCCGATGCTGATGATGATGTCCCGATTGTGATGGTGTTGGTGATGATGATGGTGACGATCATGGTGTCCCGATGATAATGTCGATGGTGATGATGATGATGATGATGATGTTGATAATGACGGTGATGACGTTGATGATGATGGTGTCCCGATGGTGATGGTGATCATGTTGATGACGTAGATGACGATGATGTTGATGATGCTGACGTTGATCCTGAGATCGATTGTGATATCGATAATGAGATCGATAGTGAGACCGAATGTGAGATCGACTGTGATATCGATGGTGAGATCGATCGTGAAATCGATTGTGATATCGATAGTCATATCGATTGTGAGATCGGTCGCGTGAAATGGATCGAGTGAGATCGATTATGAGATCGAGAGCGTGAGATCGATCGATCGAGACCGATAGCGAGATCGATAGTGAGATCGATCGAGCGAGACCGATCGAGTGAGACGTCGGTTCCTCCCCCCCGAACCTCCTTATCACCCGAAGGGTGGACGTATAGGTAGAAGAAATAAAACAAAAGAAAGAGAGAGAGGCGGCGATGCGCGTCGTTGGTGGCGCGCATCCGGGTCGCCCTGCGGGACCCCAGCCAGCCGAAGGCCTGCCCCCCTTGGGGAGAGGTGGGCAGATTCCTCGGCCGCCAGATTTGGCGCGGGATGCGCCTGAGAATTGTCCTACTTGCGCCCAGGGTTGCTGTGTTGGGTTCGACTTTCATGGTGATGCAGGGGGCGAGCTTTGGCTGCGCTGCGAGGATATCATCGATGCCAGGGCCTCGAACTCGACCCCCACGGGCCTGTGATGGGTCACATCGTACTCAGGAGTTCGACGCCGACCCAGGCCGAGGCGACGAGGGCGCCCCCGGTAGGCCCAGAGAGGCCCCCAATCGTCCAGGACCTCGATGCTCGATCCTAGGCCCCCCATCCTCGTCCTCGCGGCGCTCGGTACGTGGGGGGGGAGGTCAGGAGAGTGTCGTGCAAGGCCTGTCTGGCGACCCAGGTTGAACCCACTCGAAGGTCACCATATCTGGTTTGCTTCTCAGAGCTGGCAGGTCCCGCACAGCCAGCTAGTTTCACCCTGCGGTGGGCCCAGCCGAGGTCAACAAAACTCGGCTCCCTCGCTGCCTGGTAGCAGGCGTCGACGAGCTGGAACAGGGGGTCGTTCTGGCAATGTTTCAGCGCGAACTCACGCTCGAGAATGTAGCGGGGGTCCGTGTTCCGCAGGACGGCGTGGCCGAAGCCCGGAATTACCTCGCGAAACAGAGTTCTGGCCCTCTCCGCTTCCTCCTCCGTCTCCACCCTCGTCCTCCCGTTCATTCTCGCGCCGCCTCCGTCAGAAAGACGGGCAAGCCCCGCGCGCACCCATGCGCGCAAGTTGCACCTGGATGCAAACGGCGAACGACCCCGGAGGCGCTGCCACTGCGCCACCCCTCCACCCACTCCTCTTCCTCCTCCTCCTCCTCCTCTTCCTCCTCCTCCTCCTCCTCCTCCTCCTCCTACTCCTCCTCCTCCTCCTCCGCCTCCTCCTCCTACTACTCCTCCTCCTCTCCCTTCTCCTCCCGTTCCTCCTCCACACCCTCCTCCTCTTCATTACTCCTCGTGCAAGGATGGTTTGAGACGCTTTTGCACCTCTTGAGGTACCGAGGAGATCAAGGAGCTTTTGGGGTCCGCGAAAAACTGACGAGACCTCCAGTGGCCTCCCAGGAAATCCGTACTCCGCTGCGCCTCCTCGGATTCCTCCCCATCCACGTCCTGCTCCTCTCTGGTTTTCCAATCTCCCTCGTCATCCCTGTCCTCCCCCTCCTCTTCCTCCTCTGTACTCCTCCTCCTCCTCCTCCTCATCCTCCTCCTCCTCCTCCTCCTCCTGTTGCTCCTCCTCATCCCCCTCACCTCGCGCCAATCACACCAACAGCAGCGCGGCTGGCGACACAGTGTGAATCGGAAGAACGCACGGGCAGACCCTGAAACGAAAAGTCCCCCGCTGCTAGTGTTGCTCCTCCTCGCCCCTCCCTTCCTCCTGCTCCCTCCTCCCCCATTAATCCTCTTACTCCATCTTTCATCGCCCTCCTCCTTATCCTCCTCCTCATCATCGTGGGCATCATCAGCATTATAATCAGCATCCAGTTGCCTCGTCCTTGTACACATCATACCCTTTCTGCTCCTCCTCCTCCTCCTGCTCCCTGGCTGCTCCTTGCTTCCTCCTGGTGCTCTCCCCCTGACTCATCGTCTCTCCTCGTGACCATGGTTGGTCATCTTTGCTTTCCTCCTCCTCCTGCTCCTGCTCCTGCTCCTGCTCCTCGTCTTTCCCCTCCTCCTCCTCCTCCTCCTCCTTCTCCTCCTCCTCCTCCTCTTCAGCATGTCTCACCATCCCCCATTCCCCTCTGCATGCTCGACCTCCCCTATCCCCATCCCCCTCACCTTCCTCGGCCTACTCCTCCTTTTCCTCCTCATCCTCCACCTCCTCCTCTTCACCATGTCTCACCATCCCCATTCCCCTCCGCATGCTCGACCTCCCCGTCCCCATCACCCTCGCCCTCCTCGGCCTACTCCTCCTTTTCCCTCCTCATCCTCTACGTCCTCCTTCGTCGTAGTCCTCCTCCTCCTCCTCGTCCTCCTCCCTCCCACCCCTTTGCTCCTCGTAGTTCCCCCTTCTCATCCTCCTCTTCCTTCTCCTCCTCCTCCTCCTCCTACATCTCCTCCTCCTCCTCCTCCTCCTCCTCCTCCTTCTCGTCGTCGTTGTCCCCTTCGACCAGATGATCCTGCTCATCCCCCTCCTCTTCCTCTTCATCCTCTTCCTCCGCATCACCCGTGTCTTCATCCTGTTCTGGCGCCGACGAAGACACTGAAAAAGACCACAACTGCGGTGTGACGACAGCGGCGACGGCGACAGACAATGCTGACGCCGAGACGGCCCTCCCCTCCGACCTTGCCGGCGGCGAGGGTGTCCTCTGCGTACTGGGTGAGAAGCTCTTTTGTGGGAGTCTGCCCCTTCAGGTCCTCCAGGGGGGAGGGTAGCAGGAGATGCCTCGAGGGAGGACACCAGCGTATGAGATATGCCTCGAGGGAGGAGGACGTGGAGGAGGAGGAGGAGGAGGAGGAGGAGGAGGAGGAGCATGGAGCACGGAGCGGCCTTCCTCCAGACATGCAGGTCCCCGAGAGGAAGGGTCAAACCAACGACCCCGACGGACGAGAGCCGAGAAGGAGCGACCCGAGAAGGAGCGACCCCCAGCGCGAACCTGACGAGATCCCGAGCCCGAGCCCGCGCGACCAGGAGGAGGCCCCGCTACCGACAAGGAGATGATCCATCCCTCGGGTAGCCGAGCGCAAGCAGAGGCCTCCGAGCACATGCGAACGCCGTCCGAGCGCAAGCGGAAGACTCCGAAACCCTTCGAAGTCCCCCTTCCTCACTCCTGGCTGCTCCTCCCTCCTTTCTCATCGGGGAGCAGGAAGAGGATCTGCCCCCACTCTGAAGTCTGCTCCCTGCGCGCGGGTCCTTTTGCACCTGGAGCAGCCAGCCCAAGCACTCCTGTGAACGGGCCAGTGGACGACCAAGAGCTTAGCGACGAGGTCTGCAAATATCTGCTGCCCATGGCAAGGCCCGTCCTGGGCTGAAAACGTGTGCATGTGCCAGCCTGGCTGAGCCATGGGGGGCGTATGCACCGCTCCTGGGCCGAGGATGGGCCTGGCCAGCGGCGGCAGATGTTTACAGACCTCGTTGCCTTACAAAGGTGCCCCAGGAGGTCCCCTTCTGAACCCCCGCCCGGTGTTTCCGAGCCCGCTCGTCCGCCAGGCGGGAGGCCGAATGGTCTCAGTCCCAAACTGCTGGCTAGAACATTCGGCCCGCTCGGTGGCCGAAAGGGCCCGATGTCGGGACTGCTGAACGGCCGGTGGGCTCAGAAGGGAGCCGTGGGGTAGCCCATCGGGGGGAAGCAAGGGCACACAACCGCGAGGACGGAGCGACGGGAAGGGAGGGGATCAGGACGGAGGAAGAGGAGCAGGAAAGGAGCAGGAGGAGTGGCAGGAGAGAAAAGATGGCCAAACATGGTCGCGAGGAGACAGGAGGAGTCGGGGGGAGAGCATCAGGAGGGAGCAAGAGGAGGAGGGGGAGGAGGAGGAGTAGGAGGAGGAGGATGGAGACGCAGAGGCCACTTGGAGTGGAATGGCGCAGGATGACAAGGGGGAGGGAGAAGGCGGAGGGGGAGGGGGGAAGGGAGAAGGCCAGGGCCATCAAGGGAAGGGTTTGGAGAGAGGAGTGGATTAGGAGCCAGAGGGGAGCGACTGCAGGAGGGGAATACATCGGGAGCGGCAGTGGGGGGAAGCAGCGGTGTCGACGTCGCTGGCGGCGGCTGCGTCCGCTGCTCGCCTGGTTCGCCAGGCCGTGCAAGGGTCCCGCGAGTCCGCAGAGACCCGCGGCCCAGGCATAGTACGGGTCGCTCAGCGCGGAGCCCACCAGGTGGGACGTATGCGCGGAGACGTTGCCCCCCTCGTGGTCCTGAGGGTGTCAAGGGGAGGGGGAGGAGGGAAGGTGAGGGGAAGGAGGATGGCCCGAGTAGACCCAAGATTCATCAGCGATGCTGCTGCAGCACACCTTCCCGTCCCAGGTTCCCACAGACGTCCGTGGAGGCATTCCTTTGCACTACAAAAAGCGCCCCCTTGTGAGATCAGCGCCAGATGAGCTTGCCATTCTAGTGAGGGCTTCGTGAAAAGGGGGAGGACGTTCGCTCAGCGCGGAGCCCACCTGGTGGGACGTGCGTTTGGAGGCGTTGCCACCCGTGTGGTCATCTGTTCCAGGCCTCTCCCTGGCATCATGCAATATAGAACGACCGCGATGTGTCGGCCCTGTTCAGTCTTTGGGGGCCCTTGCTACTGAAAACCAATCCAGGGTTTGGGGTCTATACTTCCCTGGGGAACATATCACGGAGTCGTGGAGACATTGCCCCCTCCCATCGTGCTTGCACACTGGATGCATACAACCATGATCCCTGTAATGCGAAACCTGCTGGCCATCTTCTGTCGATGTTTGGAGCTTCTAGGGTGCTCCAAGGGCTATGCGGGTCCCCAGGGCCACTGGAGGATGACACATTGGCTCGAGGCACCTGCTGGCAGGCTGTTTCTGGGAGCCTCCGAAAAAATTGGGTTGAAAATGGTCTCACTGGTTCTGGCTGCTACGGGAAGTTGTCCAACAAATGTCAGAAGTTCCCTGTTGTGTCCAGACTTGTCTCGGCGGTGGTTCAAACAGTTCCTGAAATGGTTGGACTCCTCCAGAGTTTTGGTAAAAGTCTCAGAGGGGAGGAAGGAGGGCGGAATAACGAGGAGAAACAGCACGGGGAAGATGAAGAGGATACGCCTCCCGCGTGATCCCAATGAAGGGGAAGGAGGTGGAGAGGAAGGCTGAAGGGGAGGAGGAGCATGCGATGAACCGTCTCCGAGAGGAGGAAGGAGGAGAGGAATGATAAGACTATGAAGGGGAGTCGAAGAGACAAGTGTAAACGTAAGAAGCATCAACGATGTTGTAATAAACCCTCCTTCCGAGCTCCCTCTCCATAGGCTCCTACACCGGTTCATTTCCATTGAAAGAACTGTCTCTTCAGAAGACAACCGTTTGAAGACCCTGAAGCATGCCAAAACATCGTTCTCTGGATTCCAACGCCACGGAACAACCTGACTGTTGCGTCTTGACAATCCTGAATCGAGCCAACCCACCATTCCTGGGACTTCAACAAAGCAAACCAGCATAACCCTTGCACCAACATAATCCTGAATCCGATCACAACGCAATCCCTGGCACGTTGATGCTGGGAATCCGTGGAATTCTTGCACTGTTTGAAACGAATGCGCGCGGCGCTTAGGCGAGAATCGCATGTTGAAAAAGAACCGCCATCAATCCGTGAAGCTCTTGCAATTCAAAAAAAAAATGCGCCGCGCTACAGCGACTCACCCTCAACCCGTGAAGCTCTTGCACATGGTTTAAAAACATGTGCGGCGCGCTAAGACGAGAGCCACATTTTGAAAGCGACCCGCCCTCAATCCGTGAAGCGCTTGAAACTTTGTACCACGAATGAGCGCCGCGCTAAAGCGGGAACCACATGCTGAAAACGACCCGCCCTCAATCCGTGAAGCTTTTTGCAAGTGTTTAAAAGGAATGTGCGCCGCGCTCAGGCGAGAGCCACATGTTGAAAACGGCCCGCCCTCCATCTGTGAAGCTGCGAAACCGTTGTCAATTTTGTGCGCTTCAGACTCATACACGGAAAAAGAAATCTCAAGCGAAACTCCCAGCCCGCCCTGAAAACTGGCTCCGGAAGCGACAGGGAGAGGTTATTTGTAAGGAAAAGGAATGGAAGGGGACGGATAGGGTGGCAGTAATAAAAAGGAAATAAGAACTACGAGGGGATCTGGTATCGTCTGTCCTTGCAGCCAACCAAATAGCTTCCAGGGGTCTCTGTGGGGGAGGGTCAGACAGAAAAGGAGCAGGGAGGAGGAGCTGGGTAATGACGAGGAGATCGAAGAGGAGAAAGAGAAGGATGAGGGATGACAAAGAACCACAAGAAATTGTAACCCGCGCGCAGTCCGCGTGCAGCATGAGGTACAACCGGGTCACCTCTCAGCGCAGCCGAGGAATGGCAGCTGAGTGCCAAACAGACAACACACACATACGCATGCCGAATGCCAAGTGAAGGCTGGTAAGGCGCCATGCGTATTTTCTGAGCCCAACCCGCTCGTTCCTCCTTACTTCGTTCCTTGTCACGTGTGTTCCATCCTAGCGTGTACGGACTTGGAAACTCAACTCTTTAGGCACCGCCTCCAAGGGGTATTCCGTGACATTTGAATATTGCCGTTGCAGTGCCATGTTCACCTTGGTGACTGACTCGAGGATGAAGCTCCTGAGTGGTGACCAGCGTGAAAAAGTGCATCGCCTGACCCTCCAGGCCCTCTCAGTCCGTGGCACGGTGGCGGAGTTTGCCGAAGGCACCAGGGACCAACACCACCGAAACTCGTACAACACTCTTTGGTGGGCCGAATTGCAAGGCGGGACGGTTCGCCACTGTTTGACGTTTTTGGGCCGTAACTCGGCTCACGGGCAGCCTCTGGGGACGATTCCGGCACCCCTGGAACGCCCTCGACGAGGCGCGTGTCCGAGGCTGGGAAACCGCCGAGGACCTACAAAATCCCCGAGAACCTCAAAATTCGACGGATTAATCGAATCTGAGCGCGCGGGCCGAACTCCTCCACAGGTGTGGCGCTCTTGGGGGCCGAGGGCGGGGAACAAGGCCTGGACGAGGCCTGCGTGCTCTCTCACCAGCATGCTCGCCGTCTCTGGCACCCTGGGAGCACGGTGGGTGGGTCTCCATATAAACACCACGTCCGTCGGTCGGCCAAGGAGCTGGGTGTATAGGCACTCCAGCTGCCAAATCTGTGGGACGCTGGAGCGGCTATACACTCAACTCCTTCGCCGAGCTCCTTGGCGCCATCGCCGACCAAACGACGTGGTGCATACATCGAGCCCCTCCGAGTGGTGCCGTAGCCGCCTCCGAACGCCCTTCGAAGACATCTGAAAACCCTCCGGAGGTCGAGCGCGCCAGGGGCGGCACCGGAGATGCCACCAGGGAGGTCTCGCGCCAAGCCCAGAGATCCGCAGGTGCCTCCGACAAGCCGATGTGTATGTCTTTGTTCTTCTTCGGGAACGGCTGCCTACCATCGGCCGGGTGAACGAGGGAGGAGGAGGTACGCTCGGAAGTCGGGCACTCGCCGACGCATGTTATCAGCCGACATACAGCGTCTTGATTTTTCGGGACACGGGGCCGCGACCTCTCGACCACTTGCCTGGGACTGTTTCTCCTGGCGAAGCGTTTTGGTTTACGGTCCCGAGGCCCAGTGAGGGCCATGGGGGGCCGCAAGCGATCAAAAACTCCCGTCCCGAAGTTGTTGAAACCCCAGAAAGTATGTGAAGATTTGTATTTAAGCGATCCCCTCCGAAAACCTTCGGCGATTCTTCCCAAAGGTGCGCACGTCGCGTTTGAAATGCTATGGGATGCTATGTGTGTTGATGCTGTTCTACGGTGTAATACGTCCTGACATGGTATGGTATGGCATGGTATGGTATGGTATGCTCTACAATGGTAGGTAATGGTAAGACACGCTGTGTTGTGTTATCACTTGTGGTGCTTTGCCCAGTTATGTAAAATCAACAATGGTACAGCGTATGGTAGTATGGTCTGGTATGGTCTGATGTGATGTAACATGCTATGCCGCGATCTGTCATGTCATGAATTGGCATCGGTGCTGCGATGCTAGCTGTCATATTGCATGTGATGTGGTGCTGTGCTATGGTGTGGTGTGTTCTGTCATGGCATGTTATGCTATGCTATGTTACGTGGTATGCTATGGTATGGTATGGCATGTTGTGTATATTGATGCTCCGATACGGTATAGCATTCACTGGTATGCTGCGGCGTGTTGCGTTATGTTATGTGAGACTGTGGAATGGTATGGTTTGTCATGTTCAGATGTGCGATGGAGTCTCATGACTTGTTCAATGTGTCATGTTGTTGGGTGCCCTGTGATGTGATGACTTGCGATGATATGCACTGCGCTGTCATTGTGTGCTCGGGTACGATATATTGTGCCATGCTACGGTATGTGATGCGCGGATATGCTATTTTAGGTGGTGTGGGGTGATATTCGTTTCTGGCATAGCTTGTAGTGTTGTGCTGCGCTATGTTCTGCTAGTCGTAATGCTGCTCTGTCATTCGGCGCGAGGCGGAACACTCGGGGACACTCCAGGGATCTGCGGATCTGGCGGCCGCGGTATGCAGAATGGCGCGAGGCGGGACACTCGAGGACATTCGGGAGGCCTGGGGATCTGGCGGCCGCGTTATGCAGAGTGGCGCGAGGCGGGACTCTCGGGGAAACTCGGAAGACCTGGGGATCTGGCGGCCGCGGTATGCAGAGTGCCGCGAGGCGGGACACTCGGGGACACTCGGGGGGCCTGGGACCTGGCGGCCGCGACATGCATAGTCGCGCGAGGCGGTACACTCGGGGACACGATGGGGGCCTTGGGATCGGGCGGCCGCTGTATGCAGAATGGACGGGTCGGGAGGTCTGTCGGTTGTGGAGCAACCCGTGGACTCCGTGGCTGTACTCGGCAGAGACTGACCAGTGACTTAAACTACAGCGTCATCCCGGAAGTAAAGAAAGCATTGGCCAGACGAGGATAATGGAGGAGGACGAGGACGAGGAAGGAAAGGAAGATGCGGAGGGAGAGTGGGCAGCGTGGCTGCCAAAAACAGCTTCCCAGACGCAGGACGCCTGGGAAACTGGTGGACTTCGGGCCCTCCGCGCGGACTCGGGGATCCTCGAGGCCAGTGGGCAGACCAAGCGGGTTTCTTGGGCGCGGGTGGCCTGGGCGCCGCTTCATGGAGGGGCGATAAGTGTGGGGAGGGGAGCAATTCACATTTTCCGGCCCCTCAAGGCCCCTGTCTGGACCCAACGAGCCCCTTGAGGGGCCCCAGAGGGCCTGTTTTCTGCAGCCCTCGCTGCCCCCCCTCATTGTATCGCCCCCCCCCCTCCGGGACGCGACGCCCGACTTCGGCCCTCCGCGGGCCCCGGAACTCCGAGGCAGGCGGGCAACCCAGGCGGGCAGCCAACCGACCATGCCTGCCGGGGGCCCCGCAGCGCTCAGGGGCTCGGCGCGCTGCGGGGCCCCCGGCGGCCCGCGATGGTGGCCCATTTCGCTTCTGCAGGCAGTCCGTATAGCAAGGACGCACGCTGAGGATGAGAATCCCACCTCCTCCTCCTCCTCCTCCTCCTCCTCCTCCTCCTCCTCCTCCTCCTCCTCCTGTCCTCCTCCTCCTCCTCGTCCTGGGCAGATGACCAAACAGTGACATGAGCATAAACTTCCAGAGGTCCGCTCGGATGTCTTGGGTCGGCGCTTGGACCTCCTGGCGGCACCTCGGGCGCCGTCCCTGGCGCGCTCCACGCGCTGGGGAGGGGGTCCCAGCGCTGATCCGAGAAATCCGCGCGGACCTCCGCCAGTTTATGTTTACAGTCAACCGTTTAATAAGGACGCGCGGTAAGGATGCAAGGGCCTTGGAAGGCCATGTCGACACTTTGCCGGCGGGGCGCGACCAGCGAAAACGGCCAAGGATGGGCTGAAAAGGAAGGATGCAAGGGTAACCTTAGAACGTTGCTCATCCTTGCAATGCAGATTGACTGTATGCGGTTCGTTGTGGAAGGCCTGCATCCACACATGTTGACGTCTCTGGGACGTTGGCGGGACTGGGTCTAGTGGGCCCTGGCTAGGTGCTGCGTGCAGACGGACGCCCACCCCCACCCCTTTCCTCTGACCAGAAGCGCAGTTACCCGAAAAGACACGAGCTATGGCAAACCTTTGTTTACTCACTCTGGCTCATTTTGGGGGGCTTCGGGTCCCAATCACTAGCCGGCTCCCCTTAACCAGGGTCCTGGCTATGTCCAAATCTCTCCCGTGGGGAAGAATTGTACTTCAGCTGACGGAGCCGGCATTGCTTTACTTCCGCCGCCCTGCGGCGAGGATGAAATGTCAACCCCTCGATTCGTCGAAGGTGAGGTCACGCTTGAAACCAGGTGGCTCAAATGGAGGAGGCGGCCGCGGAGGGAAGACAGGAGGAGGATACCCAACGAAGCGAGATGTGCACCTCCATGAGCTGCGCTGGCAGCCTTGCGACCCAAGGAAACGTCCTGCGCTGGCAGGTCTGAGTTGGATCGAATCGCGACATAGGACCGGTTCGGAATCGGATCGCATCGCAAGCGCACCGTCCCAAATCCCATCGAGATCGGAATCAAGACCCCAACTGGCTAAGCGAAAAGCTGTGAGGGGGGCCGACCGCGCGGAGCATGGGTGTAGTAGGACGGTGCTGGGGGGAACCGCTGTACAGCCTGGCAGGGGCGAGGATGATAGGGGGGAGGAGGAGGAGGAGGAGAAGGAGAAGGGGTCAGGAGGTGGCGGAGAGGGAGGATGGCAAGGATGAAGGGATGGCCTAGGTGGAGCACGAACAGGCGAGGCAAGACGGAAGTGGCCAAGGAGGAGGAGAGGAGAAGGGAGACGAGAAAAAAAAAGCAAATGGGAGGGGGAGGGGGAGGACGATGAGGGCGAAGGGGAGGTCTAGATGAAGTAGGAGGAGGGGTGGGGGGAGTGAAGAGGGAGACAGAGGCAGGCATGCGAGAGTGCAAGCTAGCATCATGGCGTGCGCGCGCTCAGGCACGCTTGGCCGCGCCCGGCCACCTCTTTGAACTCCTCCCCGTCGTTGACGCCCAGCATGTTCGCGTAGTTTGCCGCCCAATCCATGGTGGTGTCGTATGCCGGCCCCGGGCCATCCTTGAAGGTGCGGCGGTAGATGGCGGCCGCCACTACTGGGATCTTCGCGACCAAGTCCAGAGCGTCCTCCAGCGCGTACTCCCAGTACTCGGACTTCTTCATCCCCGCGTCGTACGCGGCGGAAAACTTCGAGTCCTCTGCTCGGCTTCACGTTTGCTGCGTATCCTCACCAAATCTCCGTCTACAAAAAAAATGCGGGGGAAGACGCAGCAAACTCAGAAGGAGACGGAGAAACAGGAAGAGGACGCACAACCGCACAACCGTGGAGCACCATGAGAATCGGGAGCAAGAGAGCGAGGAGGAGGAATAATAATAAAAATTGGAGGAGGAGCCACCTCAGACGCAGCTGGCGGAGCGCCGCCCACCGTTTCCCAGAGGAACAGCAGTAGTCGGGAACACCACCACCTACCCCGCATCTGGGAGGGCGAGGTGCATAACGGGGGGTGTCCGCGGAATTCCCTGGAGAGCCCAGAGGACGCTGGAGGTCTCTGGAGGCCTGCTGGGACCCGCCGACCCCTGCATCCCCCAGGTCAGCAAAATCCTGCATCCTCAGGTGATGGCTGTCGTCGTCCCTCTCCTCCTCCACTCCGTCATCATCCATCTTCCAACTCCCTCGAGATTTGAATTCGAGGAGGGGGGAAGAGACGGATCAATACCTAGGGAGGTGCGTTTCGGAAGGAGGCTTTAGGGCCTCTGGAAACAGCTGGAAGCCTACAGGAGCCTCCGGGGACCTCTGTGGACCTCCGAAGACCTCTGGCTTCCAGGACCCTTTCCTCAAGACGAGACCTTTTGGATCCCATTGTATGTTTCCCACTCCTCCGGCATGGTGAGATTAGCTGAGCGGCGAGAGCCTTTCGACCCCATCTCAGGAGCTGGCTTTGCGCCGGGGCCCGCTAGATACATCTAAAGCCTGAAAGCGGCTCCCAAACGCAAGAACCAGGAATAAACGCGTTGCCGTGTACTTTCCGCGATGCGCGGCCCTCAGCTTCCTATAAGGCGGCGACAACACCGACGACGACAGACGACGGACGACAGGCGAAGACGACGACGGCGGTGGGGACGTTGACGACAACTACGGACCGCTGACAACGACGGACGATGACTACGACGACCGACGACGACGTTCCAGCGGCGACGGACCACGGACTACGTACGCGTACGACGGCGATGACGACGACGACGACGCTGACGATGGCGGCGGCGTTGGCGACGGCCGACGACGACTGACGACGACGACGACGCCGACGCCGTCGCCGGCGACGACGACGACGCCGACGGTGATGACGGCGGCGGCGACGGCTGCGGCAAAAACGACGAAGAGGACGGACGACAACGAATATATCGGCGGCAACCGCGGCGACGACTGACGCCAAATATCCTCGTCGTCGTCCACCGCTCCACGTCTCCATCCAGGTGTGCGGCCCTCCTTTGGATTTCGTACTTGGGAATTTCGGATCCCCTGGCGGCTGGGGACCGCGCGGCAAAATAAATCCTGTGCCTTCTCTTCTCCTGCCCTCCCTCCCCTCTCCCTCGTCGCAGCCACTTTCCTGCGCCTCCCAGGAGCACGGAACAGCGGTACCACTACCACCATCGCGAGGAGCCGGGAAGGGTACTCCTGGCGGTGTGCCCCACGAATGTCGCGGCGTCTCGTTCGAGACACCTCCGATCTCCAACTAGGGAAAGCATCGCGGACCTCCTCGCTTGAGGTGGCCCGCTGGTGGTGGTGCCGCGTCTGGTTCCTCCGACCTTTCGGGAAGAAAGACGACGATGCCGCTACACCCCGGACTTCTTCCAGGGCGTATGCTTACCAGGTTTGCGAGGCAAATCCGCCGACCCTGTCGACGTGTGTGAAGGGCTTCTCCATTCGAGCCGTCGTCGCCGTCATTCGTTAATCGTCGTGTCTGCCGTCCTCTTTCCTTGCGCGCTCCTTTGCCTGTGCCCGCCGCCGCTCCCCCCTCCTTTTTGGGTGACCCAAAAGGGGGTCCAGCTGAAAGGGGGTGGTGCAATAAACTTTGGGCAAATGTGTTGCAAATGTATTGCGCCGGAGAATTGCATTGCATTGTATTGCAAGTAGTGTATTGCACGCGGAAATGCAGCAATACATGTGCGCCCCGGAATGTATTGCACGCCCCAAATGTATTGCAACCCCACAAATATCTTGCACCAAATCTATTGCAGCACCCCCTTGTCGCTGGATCCCCTCTTGGGTCAACCCGATCCTTGCCTGGGCCCTTCTCCGCAAGCGCGCCACCCAAAGCGAAATTGAGAAACGTCGTAATGGACTCATTTCCCTTTGATCCCTGGGAGGGGGGGGGGTCTAGAGTCCGCTCCTGGGTTGGGGGTCCCGGGGGGAGTCCCGGGGGGGGTCCCGCGGGGGAATCCCGGGAGGGGGTCCCGGGTGGGTGTCCCGGGTCAGATACGACTCCCCCCTAGGGTGTCATGGAGCCCAAAAAACACAAAAAGAGGCCAGAGTGCTCCAAGCACCCCCAAGACGGTCCAAGAGGGCTTCGAATCGCCGAACGATTTGTCCAAGACGCCTTTCACGGCCTCCAGACGGCCCACGAGTCCTGCAAGACGCCACAAGACGCCTCCAGGAACACCCCCAAGAGAACCCAAAAAGGAAAACTCATCGATGTCCTATGAGTTTTTCAAGCATTTCGGCGTTCTCCCCTTCCCGACGCTCTAAGGCGGCCCAAGAGGCCTCAGATCGCTCCAGGACGGTCGAAGTGGCCTCCAGGGGAGACCCCAAACGGCCCAAGAAAGCCCCAAGACGGCCCAAGACGCCTCCAAGACGACCCAAGAGGCCCCCCAGACAGCTCCAAGAGCGTGTCCAGATGAGGGACCAGAACGGACGTTTCGAGTCCTCGGCCCCGAGAGGATCCCAGGAGGAACGAAGAGGCCCCCAAGAGGCCCAAGAGGCACCCTTAGACGCCTCCCAGACAACTGTGAAATGTCTTTCGGTACTTCTGCAGCTTTCCGGAATCGCCCCCCCATCGGTCCTCCTCCTCCGCTTCGTCTTCCCCCCTCCCGAAGAGCACCAGACGGAGGACCGAAACGGACATCTGGAGCCCTCGGCCCCAAGAAGCTCTCTGGTCCTTCAGCTCCTCCTCCTCCTCCTCCTCCATTTCCTCTTCTTCGTCCTCCTCGTCCTCCTCCCGTCTATGACGTACGATCTATGTTGTGCAATCGATGTGCTGAAATTTGCGAATCGATGTAAGTATGTATATACAAGTATAGATACAGTTCGTAGCCGTTGTAGCGCACGGCGGGACGCCAAGCATGAAAACGAAAGGCTGAAGCTTGAGCTTAAGCTTCAACTTTGGATTCCGCGTGCGAGGCGAGGCGAGACGCGTGCGAGGCGAGAGTGGTTGGGGAAGGTCTAGGGAGGGTCTGAAGCCCACGGCGCCAACGACCAATTGTTTTGTTGCTTGCATTGCAATTTCTTTTGGATTGCAATCTGTTTTGCATTGCAACTTTGCCAGTCCAGATTCAGCTCTGGATTCCGCGTGCGAGGCGAGAGCGGTTTTGGGAGGTCCAGTGAGGGTCTGAAGCCCACGGCACCAACGACCATGATCAGAATTTCTTTGTCTTCTGGCATTGCATTTGCATTGCAGTTTTGTTGTTGCATTGCACTTGTTCTTGTCTTGCGAATTGCTTTGCATTGCAGCTTTGCCGATCTAGCTTCAGCTTTGGATTCCGCGTGCGAGGCGAGAGCGGTTCGAGGACGTCCAGGGAGGGTCTGAAGCCCGAGGCGCTAATAACCCTGATCAAAATTACATGTGTGTTGCATTGTCAGCTGCATTTTAATGCTTTTTACTTTGCTGGTCTAGCTTCAACTTTGGATTCCGCGTGCGAGGCGAGAGCGGTTTTGGGAGGTCCAGGCAGGGTCTGAAGCCCACGGCGGCAACGACCATGATCAGAATTTCAGTGTGTATGTTCAATTTCTGTTTTTTTGCATTGCAGTGTTTGTTGCATTTGAATTTGTCTTGCATTGCAAATTTGCCAATCTAGCTTCAACTTCAAATTCCGCGTGCGAGGCAAGACCCGTCTGAGGAGGTCCAGGGAGGGTCTGAAGCCCACGGAGCCAACGACCATGATCAGAATTTCAGTTTTTTTGGCATTGAAAATTATATTTTGCATTGTAATTGTTCGTGCGTTGCAGCTTTGCCCGCCGTCTGACTTCAGTTTTGGATTCCACGTGCGAGGCGAGAGCGACTTGGCAGGTCCAGGCAGGGTCTGAAGCCCGACCATGACCAGAATCACAATTATTGGTTCATTGCATGTTTTTGCATTGCACTTTGTGTTTGGCATTGCAACTTTTCAGCTCTGGATTCCGCGTGCGAGGCAAAACCGGTCTGGGGAGGTCCAGGCAGGGTCTGAAGCCCACGGCGCCAACGACCATGATCAGAATTACAATTGTTTTTGCATTGCTGGTCTAGCATCAGCTTTGCCAGTCTAGCTCCAGCTTTGGATTGATTCCCCGTGCGAGGCGAGAGCAGTTTGGGGAGGCCCAGGGAGGGTCTGAATCCCACAGCGCCAACGACCCTGATCAGAATTACAATTTCTTGGGCATTGCATTTTTTTACATTGCTCTTTTTTTTCATTGCAACTTTGCTGGTCTAGCTTCAGCTTTTGATTCCGCATGCGAGGCGAGAGCGGTTGGGGGAAGTCCAGGCAGGGTCTGAAGCCCAGGGCGTCAACGACCATGATCAGAATAACAGTTGTTTTGCATTGCAGTTTCTTTTGCACTGCAGCTGTTTTTGCATTGCAGTCTTTGTTGCATTGCAGCTCTGCTGGTGTAGCTTCAGCTTTGGATTCCGCGTGCGAGGCGAGAGCGGTCTGGGGAGGTACTGGGAGAGTCAGTCTGAAGCCCACGGCGCCAACGACCATGATCATACTTACATGTTACATGGCTTTTGCATGGTAGTGTTTGTTTGCATTGCATTTTTCATGTGCATTGCAATTTGGTTTGCATTGCAGCTTTGCCTGCCTAATTAGCTTCAGCTTTAAATTCCGCGTGCGAAGCGAGAGCGGTCTGGGGAGGTCCAGGCAGGGTCTGAAGCCCACGGCGTCAACGACCATGATCATAATTACACGTTTGTGTTTCATGTCAATGTTTTGTTGCATTGCACATCGCACTTCATTTTACATTTCAGCATTGCCGTTCTAGCTTCAGCTTTGGATTCCGCGTGCGAGGCGAGAGCGGTTTGGGGAGGAACAGGGAGGGTCTGAAGCCCACAGCGCCAACTACCATGATCATACTTACCGTTCGTGTTTGCTTTGCATTGTTGTTTTGCATTGCATTTTTCTTGGCATTTTAGTTTCTGTTGCATTGCAGCTTTGCCGTCAGGGAGGGTCTGAAGCCCACAGTGCCAACAACCAAGATCAGAATTACAACTCTTTTGCATTGCAGTTGTTTTGCATTGCAACTTTGCCGTTCTAGCTCCACCTTTAGATTCCGCGTGCGAGGCGAGAGCGGTTCGGGAAAGTCCACGGGGGGTCTGAAGCCCACAGCGCCAACCACCATGACAAGAATAACACGTTTTTGTTGCATTGCAGTTTTTTGGCGCTAAAGTTTGTCTTGCCTTGCAGCTGTTTTTGCATTGCATTTTGTCATTGCAAATTTTCTTGCATAGCAACTTTGCCGTTCTGGCTTCAACTTTGGATTCCCCGTGCGAGGCGAAAGCGGGTTCTGGAGGTCCAGGGACCGCTATGCGCGGTCGGACCGATCGGCCAGCGACTCGGAGCCCTCCTGGACCATCTTGGGGTCCTCTTGAGGCCGTCTTGGAGCGCCCTGGGGGTCCAGGAAACCGCCCTGGGGTGTTCTGGCATCCTTGGGCGGGTCTTGCCGGGACCTTGCCTGGGCACTTATCGTCCAGGGACTTCCAGGGGCCGGCCCGCGCGCGCGAACTATAAATATCGTTTACCAGCTAACGGAGATTTGAGCACGCCTCTGGCCCGCTGGGCCGGCGAACTGAAATTTTATAAGGGTTTCGGCCTCTTGGAGGCCTCTCTGGGCGCTCTTGAAGCCATCTTTGAGCCATCTGGGGCCCGTCTTGGGCCATCTTGGGGAGGCCATCGAGCAACAAATAAGGCGGCGTCAATTTAGATCCCCCCGTCGGAACCCTCAAAATCGCCTCTTGAAGCTCTCTTGGGACGCTCTTGGGGCGGTCTCAGGCGCTCTTGGGACCGTCTTGAGCCTCTCTTGGACCCCTCTGGGGGATCTTTGGGTCCATGCTGGAGCCATCTCGAGGCGTCAGAAGCCCATCGGAAGCGAAAAGTCGAGAAGGCAAACAAAAACACTGTGTTTCCATTAGGTTTTGGACGGTTGTTGGCCCCTCCAGGGCGTCCTTGGGAGGCCCTTTGGCCACTTAGAGACGTCTGGGAGGGATCTTGAAGCCTCTTGGAGATCTGTTGCAAGCTATATTTGGCCATGTTAGACTTTCTTCAGCGATCTTGGAGGCCATCTTTAGCTCTTTGGGGCCTTCTTGGAGCCAACTTGGCCCATCTTGGACGCTCTGACCGCTCGCGACAGGCCCGGTCAAGGTCCAGGGGGAGGGGGCAGCGAAGAGGAGAAAGGGGGTGGAAGAGGGGGGTATCAAAATCACTCACGCCCTAAAGGGCTGGTGGGATTTTAGCCCCCTCCTCTGGGACCGTCAAAATCGCCTCTTGGAGCCCTCTGGGGCCCCTCTTGGTCGCTTCTTTCGGGCCTCTTGGGGCGTTTTGGGCGTCTCTTGGCAGTCCCTGGAGCCTCTTGCAGCGTCTTGGCTGCTTCTGGGGGCGGACAGGCTCTTGGAGCCTCTCTAAGGGCCTCTGTTAGACCGCTTGGCAGTCTTTGGAAGCCTCTTTGTGGGGTCCACGTGGAAACCCAAAGGATACTCTTGGGACCATAAAAGAGAGAAAAGGAGAAACAAGTAGAGAGCCCCGATAAGGAGAAACAAGTGGAGAGCCGCGTCAGCTGCCATATGAGTTCTTCTGCTCCAGAGCAGAGTAAGGCGGTGGGGCATGAGAGCGTTTCGGCTCAAGCGGCTTAGAATCTGTGTTGGGCAAGTGATAGATTGAGCAATCCATGTGGCGCCATCGAGGTGGTGCAACCTATGTGGTACAGGCTATGTGGCGCAATACATGTCGTGCGGTCTATGTTCTACGAAGTGCAATATATGCACTGCGATCTATGTTGTGCGATCTATGTGGTGCAATCCCGGTTGTGCCGAATATGCGGTGCAATCTATGTCGTGCCAGCTACGTTGTGCAGTCTACGAGGTGCAGACTGTGTGAGGCCGCGACGGGGCTGCGACGGCGAGCCCGGAGCCGCCAGACCGACAATCAGGCCCAGACGACGGGCGGCGACGAGGCGGCGACGGCGGAGCGGCGACGGCGAGCACGGAGCCGCCAGACAGACATTCAGGGACAGTACCTCGGAAGTGAAATAAGAACCCCTAAGTGCGAGCACTGCTTGGGGAGAACATTCCCTCCATAGGGCGTGGTTTTGTATACTCGATGTTGCCCCGGGCGGTGTAATCCGACTGGGGCGAGGGGGCGTACACCAAAAACATCTTGAGGATGATCATCCTCTCGTCCTCGGATCCTCCCTCCTCGCGGTGGCCTTCTGCAGGGCGAGCATGCACATCGACAGCTGGGTCATCGGGTGCGTCTCGATCGGAACGGACTTCAGGGTGGCCATCACGTTCGCGGGCACGGAGCTTCGGCGATGCAGCTCGTCCGTGAAGGCCCTGACAGGCACTGAGAATAAGATGGGATGCTGCTGCTGCTGCTGCCCGTTCTTCACATCCCGTTCTCCCCTCATCGAGAGGAGTCAAAATGGGCACACACATGATTCGTGGGAGTCCGTGCAGACTGCGAGAAATTATGTCTATGTCATCTTCTAATATTCGGTCATTCTCTGTTCCTGCTTCCCGTGCCTCCCACAGTCTGTGACACTCTGAGAAGCCACAACGCACCTCTGCCGATCGATGGGTGCCAGCTCGAAATGACGTCTCTCGACCCGTTGCGCCTGTGTTGCTCAGGATCATTGTTCAGACCGCGTTGCCTTCGCTACTGTCACTTTGCTCGTCGCCCATGTCAATCCTCATCCGCATCGGTCCACATCCAACCCCTCATCGGCCTTCTCACCTTCTCAGCTTGCTCCCCCTCCTCCTCCTCCTCCTCCTCGTCCTCCTCCAACTCTCTTCTGAACAATCTTTCTGGAATTCCGCCGCTACTGCCGCCTCCTTCACCTTCTCGCTTTCCCCCACTATCACGTTCACCTTCTCTTTCTCCTTCTCCTCCTCTTCCTCCTCATCATCCTCCTCCTCTTCATCCTAAACCCGCTATCTTCCTCCAACCCCTGACAAGCTCCCCAAACAACTCTCCCCAGGTTGGGAAACATGCTATTCCTTCAAATGCCTAAGTTACCCTGCCCGTCCCTGCCCAGTTGCCCCTGCGCTGCCCTGCCTAAGCCCTCCGACGTCGTGGTTTTGTCATGAGGAAGAGGACGACCAACAACACCACCGACGACGACGACGCCGACGACGGACGACCACGACGACGGTCGGAGGAAGGCCAGCCATGGCAACGAGGCCGAGCTGGGAGGCCGAGAAAGACCAGCATGCGTCCAATGACCTCTAGCCCCTTGAACCATGACCACCGAAGAACCTCGCGCTAACGACGACCACCGACGACGAGGACCACGACGAACGACCGAGCGCAAAGGAATTCAGTCGTGACCATGAGGGTGCCTGAGGAGGCTCAAGAATGCCCAAACGCGTCCACGAATATCGAACCTCGGCCCTCGAATCACGATCCTCGATGTTCGACGACGACGAGAACGACGGACGACCCGAGCCGGGTTTGTACTGAAGCGCGTCCAGGCAAGAGTGTTGAAGGAATACATGTAGCCGTGGTTACGAGGGCTCCCAGGAGGCCCAGAAAAGGAAAGACGACATACAAGAACACCGAGCCTCAAACGTCGGCCCCAAATCCACGACGACGACGACGGCGACGAAGACGACAAAAACAACCGACAGACGGAAAAAAAGTTTGGCGGACGAACGACAGACGATAGACCTACCGGGACGCAGAAGCCCAAAACGGCCCGAAGACATCTAACTTATCCCGATCCTCGACCCTCTACGTTCGACGCCGACGACGGCCACCACCACGACCTCCATCTCATCCGTCCCTCCCCAACCTCATTCCACATCCTCCCTCCTCCACCTCCCTCCCTCCTCACTCCCCCTCCTCCCGCCTTCCTCCACCAGGCGTCGCGCCACAAACTTCGAACGAGAACGCCGACCCCAGGCGGCAGAACCCCGACCCTCGGACACTGCCGCGTCCAAGCCAGTCACGCTCGCCATGTGCCGCCCTGCTGGTGTGGCCTCGGCTGCTGCTCGTCGCCGCGTACGGGCATGACGGACCGCCGCGCTGCAGGCACAGAGACACGCGATGGCAGCGCAATGGCTACAGGTTACAGGCTCCCCAACTGTGGACCCTGGCGACTCGCACCAGCGTGGGCGGAGCCGTCTACGCTGGACAGTGCCTTAACGCCGTACTTACACAAGCACAACAGCCTCAGGATGCAGTGGGTCAACGAGGTGCTCGACACTGCCCGCATGCTGGAAAAGGAAAACAACACGGCGCTGCGCCAGAGCACAAGCTGAAGAAGAACCACCGACGAACGGAGACAATGAAACGACGCCGCTGCTGAGGATTCGCGCGGGCACTGAGCGGGGGACCGCTGAGGAGGTGCTCGCTAGCATGCAAGAGGCAGACCTCACATGCGTGCAGCTCGCCACGAATTTACGCCAGGTGATGACATAATGGATTTCAGCCAACGCCTCGGGCGACGATGCACTATCCGTCACCGACCCTGAACCTCATGTTCCTGACCTCCGGGACGATGATGACAGCATCAGCCTTCGGGCTCAAACCCCTGGGGATAATGACCCAATTACGCTGTATAATAGGCCGTCTATCGGTGAGCAGCGGATTATACAGCACACGACTTGGCCACCATTTAGAGAGGCATGCTTGCAATGGAAAGGGGGACGCGTATGCATCATTGAGCCAGCCTTGTCTACCACCAAGGGCTTGCAACGAAAGGAGCAAACAGTTTCTTCTTCTGAGCGTACGATGGTGGACACACCCAGGGTAATTACTAGAGCAATTCCGAGGGCAGACCAGCATACGCAGCGAGTGTAGGTAGAAGGCCAAGCTAGAACGTATTGCTGCCGCAATGACAGCAAAGAGTGTGCTTGAACTGGCCGGGCACCGTTTTCGCCGAATCTCACAACGCCCAAACCTGAGCATCAGTTCGAGGCGCACGTTTCTCCTGCTCTGGGGGGCGTCCCTAGGCCCACGCATACGTTCCCCCGCCCCTGCGTCCTCCTTCCCTCACTTTTGTTGGCACAGGCCCAAGCACAGCTGCAACTGTGAAGCTATCCGTGCACTCCATTGCTCGGCTGGGCCAACGCACGCCGCCCAGGAACCGGTCCCTAGTTCGCAAGCCCCTGTGAGCTTCAGTGGCGTCGACAAGAGACGCTGCTCCAGACCAGAGCCGTCGATGGAACAAGCCAATCTCCGCTCATGCTTCGACGGGTCACCCCCGACACCACTTGAGGAAGAAACAATTGCGTAAACATAAAACATGAACTGTTGAAAGTCCGCGCGTATTGATTGGGTCCGCGCTGGACCCCCCCCCCAGCGCGCGCAGCGAGCCAGGGGCGGCGCCGGAGGCGCCGCTAGGGGGCCCAGCGCAGATTCTAGGAAATCCTCGCGGAGCGCCGGAAGTTCATGTTTACTCTGGACTTTGCAAGAAAAGGGGGTGGTCTGACTTGGAAGGGGGTCGGATTTGAGCTGTCTCGGAGGGTTCTGCGGAGGGTCTGGGCAAAAGACCGGCCTTTTGATGGCTGGTCTTGGGGGTCTCTGACATGGCTCGTCTGGGAGGTTTGTGACCCCCACCCCTTTATTATGACATTCGGAGTATGCAGTTTTTTCTTCTTCGACCCCACCCCGAAAGGCCTCCAGGCAGGACCACAGGCACCAGTGATAAAGAGCTCGGGAAGGCGAAGCCCAGTGAGCAGCGCCGCCGCTCACCACCGCTCTGCCCGCCACGTAGCCAAAAGGATGAGGATGGGCACGGGACCACACCAGAGGAGCCCAAGTCAGCTAACACAGGCCAGGGCTCCGTTTTTTGTCGCTCGCCAAAGTCCGCGCTCTAGCAAGTCGTAGAACTGGAGACCTGGACGCATACGTGTCAGCGCGCAGGGCGGAGCGTCCTTTGAGGAGGCAGTGAGATTTGTTTCGGGGCCTGGCCCCTCCCATCCTCTCCGAGTAGCAACAGTCTGTTGAGGCATCCGTTAGGGGCAGGCCAGATGCAAAATCCTCGAACTAATTCGGTTTCGATTCAGTGGGACCCCCGCCCAAAATTCAATTTGTCTGCTTCTGGAAGCTGTTCGGGTTCTTTCGACTGTGCCGTGTGCCGCCCCATCGCCCCCAGTGCGCCTATTGGAACACCCACGCATGGGACGGATTGTGGCACGGCAGTCGTCGACCCTCGGCCTCGCAAGATTGGTATGCAGGCGTGCGGGCTACTGATACAGCCTGGAGTCTCTACGCAGCAGAATGCCTGGACCGCACGGTGGCTAGGAGCTCCAGGGCGTACCTGCTGTATTACCCGATCTGTCCCCCTAGCAAGGCCTTGCGGGCGTCTCGAAGCTATCGGCCGCCGTTTCGGTCGCTGAGAGCTGAGAGCCTACTCACAGGCGCCTCTCCGGGAATCCAGTTTTCGTTGGCTTGGCTCGCAACGGGTTCCCCCGTCGCGGGTCGCCCCCACCCTGCCCACCTCCCGATACGCCACAGTCCAGGTGCGTCATTCTTGCAAGGGCTGGGCCCTGAGATGTTCTTGTTTTGCTGTCCCCCGCCCCCTCGTCGTGGGTCGCACTCATTCGCCTAACTCTGCAAGCTTGCTTCGCCAGCCTCCGACCTTCGCTTTAATGGCCTACCATGCCTGCGTGTAGCAGTGGAAGAGAGTTGTCCTCCACATCTTCCAATTGTTACCACGGGGGGTCACACCACACCTGGTGAGCCCCTGGTCTGAGAGGCTGGCAAGCACACAGGCTTTGTCTTCGCCGCCGGGCAGGGGGGCACATCAGTACTACCATTGTTGCTTTAGCATTATGTTCCAACCTTGTGGCCCCTACAAACGGGGCACCAGACGAAGCTGAGGCTCTCGTCGTTCCTCCCTGCCGAGTCGATCCGATCCATCTCCACCTCCGCCTTGTACTCCTCCTTCATCCTCCACCTCTGGTCGACTGTACTTGCACGGGTCACTTCTACAGCGGTGCCCTGAGGCATCCTCGACATCGCAGATTTGCCCCAGCGGCAGGGTTCGCGTGGCAATCTAGGGAGCTCCACCGAAAGCCCCAGCGGCAGGGTTCGCATGGCGGCCTCGGGCGATTTCGGCACACCCCTCACGAGGATCGTGGCCCAATAGGGAGCTCCACCGAATGCATCAGTGGCAGCGCTCCCATGGCGGCCTCGGGCGATTCCAGCACACGTCCTCCGCTCATTTCGGCACGCCCCGCGCGCGGTTCGGGGCTTTCATCTGCGTTGCCCGGTGCTCCATACCTCGCGCGGTGCGCTACTGCTGATGAGAGGGGCATGTCCTGCCATACGCGCAGCTGCACATGGCTGGGTCCTTCGCCAAGCGAATGACCCAGGAGAGAAGGCAGGAGCGAAGAACATCAGCAGCACCACCACGGCGAGGAGCCAGGGAGGGTCCACCTGGTGGTGTGGCCCCCTCGAAATGCGGCGCTCCGTTTGAGACCCCCCCCCCTTGTTGGCTCGCGGGAGCATCGTGCAGCTCCTCGCTTCGAGATCGCCCGCTGGCGGTGGTGGTCACGCGGCTCCAGCTTCCAGAGGAGGAGGCCTCAGAAGATGAGGGCCCAGACTCAGACGTCGTAATCTTCACGTGGGCCCGAGGTCTAGGCCCCTTTCCTGGGAACGGCGCCGCATACCGAATCGTTGTCTGACGTCCTAGAGGCTCGGTGAGGGCAACTGCCGACGAAACCTGTCTTCGTGATCTGTTTCCCACAACGAGAGTGGGTCTGACCCAGAGCTTGCAAGTTACCCGCCGAGGTCTGCAGAGGCCAAATCCTGGGGGGAATCCAGCCGTGGCGACGAGAATGATCGTGGAGGCACACTAAAATTGAAAGACGGCTGCAAACCTCAAACGTTGAGGGCTGATATCCAACCTCCAGGAAGGCCCTCTGCTCCGCCGTCGACTTCTTCCTCCACGTGGGCGCCCGGGAATCTCGGCCCATTCCCTGGCGTTGACTTCTCATCCTGGGCCGTGTGTGCTCACGGTCCTGGGGCCGAGAGACGGCCTCCGGAGGCCGAATCAATCCGTTCTTGCTTTTCGGCGGCGAGCCCAGGGGGGAAGACAGGAGGGCGCGGGCCTTCTCAGACTTCTCAGAAACTTCGGGAGGCCTCGTGCCTTCCGAGATGGCTCCTGAGTCTTCCCCGAAGACGCAGAACACTTCTCAGAGGACCAGGGGGACTTCTGAGAAGGCCTTCTCTCCCTCTCCCTTCCCCACCTGGCGCGCCGCCCAGTCTGGTCACCTGGATCTGCGGGGCGCGGGGCGGAGCGGAGCGCGCTGGTGTCCGCCAGGGGTCGCGGCGAGGCCTGAAGGCCGGCGCTGGCGTGCTGGGGCCCTCAGTCGCAGATGTGAAAACCGTGATTGGTGCTGTGTATGGCGCAGGGCGAGGACATTGGACAAGGAGCCACTGGATAAGGAATTCAGGGTCTGCCGCCGCCCCGATCAGGCAATGGAGCATCCAGGGTCCGAAGACTCCTGGGCACACTCCTGAAGGATTGCCCCCACTGCAAGTATGTTTGGCCTAGACCGCTCCATTCCAAGGCCGCGCGAATAGCGATGATGGTTGACGGTAAGGTCGGGAATCTGGCTTTTGCGACGCTGAACTCGAGCAAAACAATATGTAGGGTACTACATCCCACACTTTCCGACATCTCAGGTGCATGAATGCACCGAGCGAGAGCGACACGGCAAAATGCAAGAAAGCGCGAGCCACGCTCTCCTTCGACTGGACCGGCTACGAACCAACTCCGCCTGCAATACCGAATCCTACATCGCCGTTGCCCACATCGCCGTTAGCGCGCCTACGGTCATTGCGGGGGATCGAAGACCGTGGATCGAGGGCCCCGGGAGAGGGTCGCCCCGCCCCCCGACCTGGTCTCCAGGTCCGTCGGCACCTCGCCCGTCAGGAGCAACCAGAACGCCGCCTCGGGCAGAGCGCAGGACCCGCCCGGCGCCTGCTGGGAGGAGGCAGAGGTACAGAGGAAGGCAGAGGCAAAAGAAGAAGAAGAAGAAGACGGATAAGAAGAAACAGAAGACGGACAAGAATGAGAGAAACATGATAAAGGGAGGAAATGAGGCACAGTAGACCGCGAAAGAAAGGAGGAGGATAAGGGATAGAGGAACATAGACTGATGAACATCATGAGGAGGCGGAGGCGGACGAGGGAGGGAGGGAAGAAGGGAACGAGGAGAGAGGGAGGCAGAGGAGGAGGCGGCGGACGAGAAGAAGGGGATAGAGAGGAGGAGGGAGAGGGAATGTTGCGCGTGTGTTGCAAACTTTCGGGCCTCCCGGAGCGTCCTTGTCGCCACGGTCGAAGCTCTGGTCTGAACGCGTCCCAGGCAAGGTCGGGGACTGATTCGAGGGGGGGGCGCAGACCTGGCCTCTGGCGGCTCAATCCCGTGTGTAAGGAAATGACTGTATAGTAGCCTTGCACTGGTCTAGATCATTTCCCGTGAAATTGTGGCCGGCTCGCGATATTCGGTGTCGGGAGCCCGTCTCGGGGCCCAGGGACCGCCACAAACAGGCCAGGGTGAAGACCTGGCTCTGTGGGAGGGATGGAGCAGGCGAAGCCGCGTCGGAGGTTTGGGGCAGGAGGGAGGAAGAGGGATGGAGGGAACGGGAGAAAGGGAGGGAAGGAGTGAGGAGAGAGGGAGCGGAAGGAGCGTGGGAGGGGTAGGGGAGAAGGGTGAGGGGGGAGGAAGAGAGGGAGGAGAACTGGGAGGTGAGAGGGAAGAGAAGGAAGCAACATGGATGGAGGCGGGCAATTGAATGAGGAACTGGGGTGCAATGAAGGGAGGCCGGGGACGGAGAGAGAACGAAAATTAGGGATGAGGGTGCTGCAGGGGGAGGAATGGAGGGAGGGAAAGGGAAGTATGAAGGGCACGAGATGGAGGATGGGAGCGAGGGTAGGAGCGAGATAAAGGGAAGAACGAGATAGAGGAAGGGATAGAAGGATGGAGGAGGAATGGGGCAGGAATGGGAGGTGGCCCTCGGAGGGAAGAGGGGATGAGAAACAGAGGGATGCAAAAATAATCACCCTAGCTCTCTCCCAAGCCTTACCAGCAGCAAGCGAACGCAACGTGATGCACTTGGGCAACGTGCTCACACAAACACATGAAGTGCACAAGAAGTGTGTTCGCATTGGCGGGCTGATGAAGGAAATGTGGGGGGGCATTCTAACCCTTACTAAGTACTCTTGGACTGCATCTGAGTTACCTAACCAGTATACGTACCCTGCACTTGTTCGTGATCTTCCTCCTGTACAGCGTCCTTTGCACTTACTTCCAGTATAGCGGCCACGATTACTCTCACTATGACGATTCCCGTCATCCTTCCTTCGACCCAAACCCATTCAAATGGATCGCTTTGGTATTCTTTTGTGCGGTCAGCATAAAAAAACACCCGCACAGCCCACACCGCCTCCTCTCCCCCCTCCGCCTGACATCTTCTAAGAGCTCAGCAGCTCCTGGCGCGAGACGGAGGCTGTCCTGCCCCGCGCCGTGCTCGCCGTCTCTCGGCGCCGCGGTTTCCTGCACCGCTGCCATGCGCAGAAGTCATTACTGTGGCGGTGGATCGCCCTCCGAGAACTGCCATGCACTAACAGATCGCCGCGAGACGCCGATTGCCTGTTACATATATAAAGACACAACACAAAAGGCGTTGCCCTGAACATCTTGCCACTAATGTTTCGCATGTTGCCCTTTTGGCGGGCGCCATGTGTATGTTCTGATCGACTGCCCTACATCGCAGACGCCCCGACCTCGAACGTCGTGCTTCTTTGGCGACGTATGCCGCCACGCCCTTTGGTCCCATCCCCCGACCATTGTTTCGTCTCGGGCCGTTTGTCTCGTCCTAGCCAGAGACCTGGGGAACATTCAGAACTAGGACCGGGATGTTTAGGTCAATCCGCCCTGTGGCCTTAGGGAGCTTCTTGTTGACCTCGTACAAGGACATCCCCCGGTAGCTGATTCCGTTGACCTCGTGTAAGTCGGATGTGTCTGTCACCATGGTCTTCATGGACCTTGCGCGGGGGGCACGAACGATGAGGGGGGGTGGATGACGAGAAATAGACGGATCACTGGGATGGTACGTTTCAGCCAACTGAGCGGGGGAGGGAGGCTCCTGGGATCGCCCTGTCGCCACGGCTGTGCCTCTCCGAAATCGTGGCCAGTCGCGCCAGCATGGGTCGTGTGGCCGATGATGAGGCTAGGAGGAGACGTGGGAGGAAGAGGAAATGGAGGAGGAGGAGGTGGAGCGTGCCCAAGGATGAGGAGAATGAGGAGGAGGGGCTGCAGGCGGGAGGAGGGAGGGCGCAGGTCACACGGCGGAGGACAAACGGAAGCTGCTTTCAGATGGACTTTCAATGCAGGGGAGTCTTGGAGGAGGGGGTTGTCGAAGGTGGTGAGGGGGAGGACGAGGGCGTAAGATGGCGAAGGGAAGAACAAGGGATCGAGCGTCGGAGAGCAATCGATGAGGAAGGCATCGATTTCGTCGAAGCAGCGGGAGGTATGAGGAGGGACGAGAGAAGAATGAGGACGACGCCGAAGTCGGGGGGGGAATTGATGGAGGAGGGCGATGCGAGGAAGAGGAAGAGAGGGATGAAGAAAACGAGAGATGCGAGAGAAGACACACAACGGGAACACGAGCGGGGAAAGATGAAAGCAGAAGCTGGGAAAGGGAAGGAGGGCAAAGGACAAGGAAAGATGGAAGAAGGGAACACGCGAGAGAACACACAGAGAAGGAAACGGGGAAAGTGGAAAGCAGGACTCGGGAGAGGGAAAAAGGGAGGAGGGGGGGAGGGAGGACGGACACATGAGGAGCAAGAGAAGGGGGACCTCGCGCCGTTGATTGCCATTTCGACGGTGACATCCTGGATCTTCGTATCGCCGTGGTTCTTGAGGAGGTCGTTCTTGAGCGCAACTTGCTCCTCGGCCCGGTTTCGAAGCAATTTCTCCTGCCTTCTCGTCCTCCCTTCCTCCTTCGCCTCCTCCAACTCCCTCTCTCTGCCACTCTCCCTTCCTCGCCTCCTCCTTATGATCATACCCCTTCTCATTGGGTCGCCATTGGACAAGCGACTTGCCCCAAGCGGACAACGTCCGTCGTGACCACGGCAACGAGTCCTGCTCAACATCCGAAATTACCCGTGCCAATCTCGAACACCGATCCCCCCTAAACTGGGCGACCCTTTGATGACGCGTGGGCCCCCCAGACGTCTCGACCCCTTTTCAGGGGCTGACGTTTCATCCCCAACCATTTGTTCCCGGGCCCCGATGGGTGGTGACATCGGAACCCTCCGAACCCGACCCTATCCCCACTAACAATCAATTCTCCTGAATCGACTGGAGGCGCGGGTAGGGATCGGATTCCGCCGCGTGTTCGACGAATTCCAAACCCTACCCCTGCCGCCCATCGATTTGCTTGAATTGCTGATCGGCGAGGGTCGGATTCGGATGTCGCCACCAAAGTCTGGGCCGGCCGAGGCGGTCTCGGGACAGAGACGACGAGGTGGGGGCTTTTGAGGCGCGCGGCGTGGCCGCGGAGAGCGGCCGCGGGTGGTGGTGGTCGGCGTCGCCCTCCCTCCCCCTTCCTCCCACCTGCTCCTGCTCCTGCTCCTCCTCCTCCTCTTCCTCCTCCTTTTCCCCCTCCATAGGTGCCCTCTGGAGGAGGGGGGGTCAGCGGTAAACCACGAGGGCAAGAGAATGGGGAGAAGAAGAAGAAAGAAGGACAGGGCAGAGGAGTAGGCGGAGGACGGCGGACAATGGAAGGGGGAGGAAGAGCAAGAAACGAGGAATCATAGGGGGAGTAATCGCTCAGGGAGGACCGAGGTGGAATCAGTCATGGAATCCAAGAAGGGAAACGGTGCTCCACCGAGACAATTCAAACACCCCTAGCCTCCCATAAGGGAGGAGCCGCGCACCTGCATGCACGGAACACACGAAACAGGCAGGGGATAGGCAAGCGCCTCGCCGTCCCGTGACTCGCCGCCCAGACGAGACGGCATGATTCGTGTGGGGGACGGTCTGTTCATCTCATCACCGCGAAGGTACTTCCCGACTCTCACCCCAGCCTGATAGACTGGCATGTGCAACTGGGTTGTCACCCCAGGGCGAGCGGGCACGAAGGCCCAATGGGACTCACGGACCACGTGGCCCCGCCCAGCAACCGCATGCCGAATGCGCAATCCCCGTGCCGGATAGCCAGAGCGGAGCGTGGCACCAGTGTCACGGGCGTTGCTGAACGCCACGACTTTGGGCAGGGGGGCACGGAGCAGGCTCTTAGAGGCCTCCTAGATGGGGCCCGAGTAGATTGGGACGGAGGATCGCGCCGAATCGCCGATGCATCAGCGATGCATCGCCAATGTATAGCCCATGCATTGGCGATACTCCTGCGACGTCGGCGGTGCATCGGCGAGGTCGACGAAGAGAAAATCGGGCTTCACATCGAGCCGCATCGCCGATACATTGGCGATGCGGCGCGATCTTCCGACCTCACTCGGGCCCCATCTGGGAGGCATTGAATTCTGGAGCGAAGTGAGACGACATTTCTGCCTCCAGCCGTAACGTGCAGCTGACAGCGTACGCGAGGAGTGTGTGACGCTGACACCACGAAACCAGGTGGCGGGCATCAACCCTTTAGGGGGCAAGAGAATCGAGGTGGATCCCGAGAAGAGGAGAAGTTCGAGCAGGAGAAACAAAAGCGAGAGGAAGGGGGCAGGGATGAGGTAGAGGAATTTCGTTTGCTTGAATTGATTGTTTCTGGACCTCTGTCCACTGCACTCTTCTCTCTCTACCTCCTGGGGTGGAGGCAGAGAAGAGTGCAGTGGTAAGGGGTAAGAATTCGAGACGCGGATGTGACGCAGGAAGGGGGGGGCGTGCTGAACCCACCGCCTCGGAGTCCCCGCAAGCCTCCAGAGTCCGCAGGTCTCAAGAGGTCTCCGCAGGACCCAGTGATGGTTTCCAAACGCCATGGGAAGCCTCGATCCTCGAAACTTGAAGCTGGACCATCGATATTGGAACCTCGATGCCCGATCCCTGCTCCCTCGGTCCTTCATCAACGCCGAGATCTTGCCCTTCAGCGTCGCGAGGATGGGCGACGTGGCGGACGAGGCCGACTGCGGACGCAGGCCTGTCTCTGCTTTCGGCGACACGCAAGACTGACCTTGGGCCCTGGGCAAGAGAACCCCATAATTACCTTAGATGTGTCTGCTGCCCCTTGCAGGGGACCTCCATACGAGGCAGGACTGACGTGAACTGCAACTGGCGAATCATTGGCGTTGCTGGAATGAAGGAAATCCGGGGAGGGGCAGGCGGCGAGCAAACCTCCGGAGGCCACCCTGTCTCAGATTGCCGCTCCCGGGCCCGTTCGATACCCGATCCAACTCGCGCGCCGAACGGGGCAGCCGGGCGGGGTCCCGTCTCATCATGCCGTCCCCAAGCTGGGGCCGCTCTGCGGATACGTGGGCTCGGCGCCGCCAGTGTCTGGTCGGCCGCCCAGCGGGCTCGGACACCGAGTGGGTTCAAAAGGAGGGGCCCTGGGGCTGTCGCTGACCCCATGCCTTCATTGTCTCCTTCGTCGTCCCAGCCTCAGCCCCCCGCGTCCCTCATCCCTCGTTCCTCCCTCCCCCGTCCCCGCCACTCCCTCGTCCCCGCCCCGTCTCGTCCCTCTTTTCTCCATCGAATGGCTTATGGGATCTGTTCGAGGTGCAGCGTTGGCAGTCTAACTCGGGCATGGACCATGCGGCATGGATGTTTCAGATCGGTGCGCGGCTAACCCCCAGAGCCAGGCTGCCAGGCTTGCAGACTCCTACTGCCGAGGTTGCACGTGCTCCTCCTTCGTTTTGATCCCAGCTTCTTTATCCTCAGTATGGCCGCATGGCCAATCAGGCATTGAGCTGGCATGAAGCAGGCAATCGCGCACAACGGGTAGAACACCTACCCCGCAATCCTGTTGCAACACCTCCCTCCCGCCTAGCAGCCGTGTCAAAAGCCGTCCCACTATTCAGGCACAAACTTGAATTCTAGTTGCGCTTTCTTCGGGCGGTACGGCGACCGACACAAGAAAATATGTTCTTATCTGCTCGGCACAGAGCTTCTTTATTGTCCGACTGCTACCGCCCCCTCGTAATTAGCCTCATTCGTCACGTCTTGGCATGTCTCTTCTCCTCTGTCTCCAGACAGCCGGGCACGCGTGCTTTGTGTTGTGTATCATGGCCAGCCTTTCCTTTGTGTCATCCCATCACGTTGAACACAAGTCCAGCAGCGTGGGTTGTAAGGAAGCCCCTAAGTTACATCGATGGGCCGATGTGCATAGCCCTTGTGCCTCAAGTGCGTCGGGCATTTTCGATTCACGCTGGACAGTTTGAGGCCACTGCTGGCGCTCCTCAGAGACCGTCTGAGATGGGTGGACGAGCAAGTGCCTATGTTGATGACTCCCTCCGACGACAGGCGCAGGGCTGCCTCGTTTTCAGCTCGCTTCCTCTCGACACAGGTTGAGGCTCAGGCTGGTGCTTCTTAGACCTGTCCTGAGTTGGGCGGACCAGCAGACGTCTGGGTGCAGGACTCCCTCGACCACCCGACGCAGGAACCCCCCGCTTTCCCCTTGCTCCCTGTTCTTTCAGACCTCACCACATGATCTAAAAGTGGCTCGAAATAGCCAACATCAGGGCACTAGGGACCTGATTACCCCTGACCTACAGGGAGAACTTCAGCTTTAAACCCAGCTGAGCTTTTCAGCAGTCCTGATCAGTCTGGTCAGTTTGAACGGTTATTTCTTAGCGCCCTGGGAGGTCCAAATCCCAAGCCACTATTAGCCCCGTCAATTCGTGAACTAATTACTCCGACGGCAAGACCCCATATGAAAATCTTCTCGGCTAGTCTGGAAGTAATTATCATCGTCGCCCCTGTGAATCCACCATTCTCCTTTTCGGCCTCGCTGGGGCTCTCCTCCCGCCCTCTGCTTTGCCTCCTCGTCATCATCCTGCCTCTCCCCGCCTCGACCACCTCTCCAGTTCTCTGCAAAGACGCGCGTATCGATTTTCCGAAGGGCCGGCGCCGCCTCAACAGGCGCGCGCGCGCGCTCGCCATCGGACAGATCGCGAGGCCGTGGGGGCACCAGGACGTGGAAACCCCGTAGGGAGGGGCCCCTGCTAAAGACGACGGCGGTTGCAAGGCCTAGATGACCCGAAAATGGGGGCCCCATAGGGAGGAGCTCCCGCTCGAGACTTCCTCGCGGTTCACTCACAGACGAAGATCTCGCTGGAGACTCCCTACAGATTGAGGCCTGAGCAGCCCGAAACTGACGAGATCTTCCAGATCTAGACATCACCCTGCCGGATTCCCATAGGGAGGGGCTCCCGCTCGAGACTTCCCTGGGGGGTCACTCACAAGCCAAGCTCCCGCACGAGACCTCCTCCAGATTCGAGCGTGAGCCCAAGAGTGACGACAGCTACAACTCTGAAGGCGGCACCGCTCGCTCCAACGTGGAGGCGGGGTCCCGCTGCTGCTCGAGACCCCTCGCGCTTCACTCACGGACGAAGTCCCCCCTGCAGCTTCCCTGAGATTCAGGCCCGAGGAGCCCAGAAGTGACGAGAGTTAGAGGATGCGCATGGCCCAGCTCAGATTCCAACATGAAGGCGGGGACCCCATATGGAGGGACTCCCGCTCGCGATGTCGTCGCGATTCGCTCACGGTCAAAGATCTCGCTCGAGACTTCCTGAAGAGACGACAGTGATAGGCTCCGGATGGCCCGGCTCGGATCCCGCGGTGCGGATTATTGGGCGCGCTGTTGCTGTCCTCGTCCTCGCCCGCGACCCACCCCGCGACCCACCCCGCGACCCAGCCCACCCACCCCGCCACCCGCCCGCGACCGCCCCGCGACCCACCCCGCGCCCGCCCCCCATCTCCTGTCCGCATCTACAGGGTGCTGCGTTTTAAAGTCCCGGCCTCGGATGCTCCTCCCCCCCTCCTCGTGCTCCCAGCTCCTCCTGCGATCGCCCGCCGCGGCCCACGCACGGCCTGTGGCCGCTCCAGAGGGCGCCACGTGGCCGGCGATGCGGGCGACGCGCTCCATGGCTTCGGGGGCCGAGAGGCGCACTGGGAGGCGGCAGCGCCCAGAAGGTCGGGGGGGGGGAGGGGGCCAATGTGCTCCTGGCTCGCCCTCGAGCTGTTGCAAGCTTCTTAGGTCTGCAGCGCCCCTCCGGCCTGGGGGCCGCAGCCCCTGACCCGGACCGAAGGGGAAACGAGCCTCTGCTGGCCGCTCACAGCCGCCTTCGCGGTGTCAGGCCACGGGGTAGCGCAGAGGGGAGGAGGGGGAGGAGGTGGGATAGGGGCAAATCGATTCAAGATCGGTCCCTGGACCCCTCCAGGGCGTGGTCCATCTGGTGCAATGTTGTACCCCAGGTTCGATTTTGACGTGCTGGGCCCGAAAACGGCCCCCGGAGGCCAAAAAAGGCAAAACACCGGATCGAAACCACCTCGAACGAGCCCGCCCCAAACTTCCCGCGCCATTTTGGAGCTCCCAGGGACCCCCTGGTCCTCGTGAGCGGTGCTCTGGAGGCCATGCGGGCTTCCCTGGCAAAGCTTGGGCCACCGTGCGCCAAGCCAACCTCTCTCAAAATAACCCTAAGTTCAAGTCGGAACGTCGAATCAGACATCGAAACACATCGAACATGAGACATTGACAACACACATCAGAAGATATCGGAATCGACGCCCTGTGGGCCAACACGAGGCACACATGCGGAGCTTAACACCCGAGTGGGAATCCAGAGTCGAACCGAACCGAAATCGGAATCCTCGAAACAAAATTGCTTCGAACCCGCAAAAAGGAAATGGTTCCTTTGGGGGGCCCTCGCGGCCACTGCCGGGCGCAGCCAGGAGAACTGACCAGGGTGGACCGCAAGACCGGTGCACGGGCCATTCTTGTGCGGATTAGGTCCGGAATAGAAAGGCCTGAGGGACAAGAGACGCGGGGCTGTCAGCCGCCCTCCGACAGGGCCTCCCGGAGTGCACTGCCCTCGCTCAGGCCTTCTGCGCGCAGCAACGGGAGGGCGGAGCGGCGGCGCTGGGTAGAAGCGGCGCTCGGGCCGATGTGGTTGCGTCGTCGTCGTCGCCGCCGCCGTCGCCGCCGTCGTCGCCAGGAGGGAACAACGGGACGTCAAGGACACCAGCGGGATCACTGAGCCTCCGCAAGGGCTCGTTTTTTTGGTGAGCCTGGACCATCTTGGGTATGCGTGTGAATGTGTGTGTGTGTGTGCGTGTGTGTGTGTGTTTGTTTGTGTGTATGTATGTATGTATGTATGTATGTATGTGTATATGTATATGTATATGTATATGTATATGTATATGTATATGTATATGTATATGTATATGTATATATATATATATATGTATATGTATATGTATCTGTATATGTATATGTATATGTATACGTATATGTATATGTATATGTATATGTATATGTATATGCATATGTATATGTATATGTATATGTATATGTATATGTATATGTATATGTATATGTATATGTATATGTATATGTATGTATGTATGTGTGTGTGTGTGCGTGTCCCCGTCTGGCTGAGTCCGATGATCGATCGATACCCGCCGCAAGGAGCCGAGTTCAAGCTCGGCAAGTGACTGACATCTTTAGCAATACTACGTAGCACCCCGCAGTTGCGGGTAAGAGTGATGGGGGCTGCGGGGATGTCGGCAGTCTGCGAGGCTTTGAAGAAGCCCGCCGCAGGCGCCAAATTTTCAGGCTACTATACAACGAGCCCGCCGCAGGCGCCAATTTTTGTTAAAACAATGTAGATTGGATGCAGAATGGGTCGCAAGTGGGTCGCGGGTGGGTCGACGGTTGGTCGCGGGTGGGTCGCGGACTGGGTCGCGAGTGGGTCGCGGGTGGGTCGCGGGCGGGTCGCGGGTGGGTCGCGGGTGGGTCGCGAGCGGATCGCGGGGTAGGTCGCGGGTGGGACGCGGTTGGGTCACGGGGTGGGTCGCGGGTGGGTCGCGAGGTGGGTCGCGGCCGGGTCGCGGGGGGGACGACGATAACAACAACAACGACAACAAGCAGAATCCTCACCAGGGATCCGCACTTCAGCCACGCACCCAGGGACAATGAATGACGGTTCGGCCCCCTCACTCTGATTTTCTCGTATCCTCGGCAAGGCCATTAAACAATGGTCGCGTACAAAACAATCTAGCCCCCTTTTTACATACGGTATGTTTTTCCCAACCATCCTGTGGTGTTGGGTCCTCGTTTTGAAGAGACGGTGCCCCGCGTCTCCTCCCGCTGCCCCCTCCCTCCTCCTCCTTCTCCTTGCCTCTGCCCTCCGCATGTCTCTGTTTCGGCGCACCCAGCAAACGTTTCGTGACCCCATAGAGAGCTCCACCGAAGGCCCCAGTGGCAGGGTTCGCATGGCGGCCTCGGGTCATTTCGGCACACCCCTCACTAGGATCGTGGCCCCATAGGAGCTCCACCGAAGGCCCCAGTGGCAGGGTTCGCATGGCGGCCTCGGGTCATTTCGGCACACCCCTCACGAGGATCGTGGCCCCAAAGGGAGCTCCACCGAAGGCGCCAGTGGCAGGGTTCGCATGGCGGCCTCAGGCCATTTCGGCACACCCCTCACGAGGATCGTGGTCTCATAGGGAGCTCCACCGAAGGCCCCAGTGGCAGGGTTCGCATGGCGGCCTCGGGCCATTTCGGCACACCTCTCACGAGGATCGTGGCCCCATAGGAGCTTCTCCGAAGGCGCCAGTGGCAGGGTTCGCATGGCGGCCTCGGGCCATTTCGGCACACCCCTCACGAGGATCGTGGCCCCATAGGAGCTCCACCGAATGCCCCAGTGGCAGGGTTCGCATGGCGGCCTCTGGCCATTTCAGCACACCCGTGGCCCCATAGGGAGCTCCACCGAAGGCCCCAGTGGCAGGGTTCGCATGGCGGCCTAGGGCCATTTCGGCACGCCTCTCACGAGGATCGTGGCCCTATAGGAGCTCCACCGAAGGCGCCAGTGGCAGGGTTCGCATGGCGGCCTCGGGCCATTTCGGCACACCGCTCACGAGGATCGTGGCCCCAAAGGGAGCTCCACCGAAGGCGCCAGTGGCAGGGTTCGCATGGCGGCCTCGGGCCATTTCGGCACACCGCTCACGAGGATCGTGGCCCCATAGGAGCTCCACCGAATGCGCCAGTGGCAGGGTTCGCATGGCGGCCTCGGGCCATTTCGGCACACCCCTCACGAGGATCGTGGCCCCATAGGGAGCTCCACCGAAGGCCCCAGTGGCAGGGTTCGCATGGCGGCCTCGGGCCATTTCGGCACACCCCTCACGAGGATCGTGGCCCCATAGGGAGCTCCACCGAAGGCGCCAGTGGCAGGGTTCGCATGGCGGCCTCGGGCCATTTCGGCACACCCCTCACGAGGATCGTGGCCCCAAAGGGAGCTCCACCGAAGGCCCCAGTGGCAAGGTTCGCGTGGCGGCCTCGGGCCATTTCGGCACACCGCTCACGAGGATCGTGGTCTCATAGGGAGCTCCACCGAAGACGAGATTCGCAATTGTGGTATTCACTACTGCATATGGTTGGGTCCTTCGCCAGGCTAATTTCTGTCTCCGTTAATGAAACCGCCCGTTGTCTGGTCAGCAACGCATTGCGAGACATACGCGCGGCTCACCCCATCGGGCGCTGAACCCCACGAAGGAGGAATGGTGGAGCCGGATAGGAGCGGAGGTATGAACCATGGTTGACAGACTTGCTTGTTTGCCCGAGACATGAAGGCCGTGCAGCGAGAATCGTCATCTTTGTGTCTCTCAACAACAACTGCCATTAGAAAACGTTGCTGACAAACATCGGCGCCGGGGGCGTCGGTCGGGGCGGGTGGCCTCCGTGTCCCTCGACTTGCTTCGCAAGCGCGGGGTCTGGCGGGTGCTACCCGTGATCGTCCTGGCACACTAAAGCGGCAGAAAACCGACGCAGTGGGAAAAAGCAGCGACGACTCCTGCCTACTCAACATTTAACTGGACAGCTCTAGCTGGTCGCTCTCCATCGCCCTGCGCTTGGTCAAGCAATGGAGCCTTGCTGACCGGTCCGTCTCCGTCGCCATGATCTTGGTCGGTTTCGGTGTCTTTGCCTCCGTCGCCGGTCTTTGGCCTCCGCTTGTCTGCGGTAGCCTCATGAAACAAACTGTTCACCACATCGCCAACTGACTTGAACCCTGGTATAATGCCAATCGGTGTCATGTCCTTTGCATTGTCCACCACTGTCGCACTCTGGTTCCCCAAAGAGTCAAGCGCCACGATGAAAAATACTCCCAAAGCGTTCGTGGTGAAGTCAAAATGCGATTGCACGCACAGAAATATTGGAACTGTGCGGCGCATGAAATGGAGGCCTAAGCCGTTTATGATGTAAGACATGAAGCCCCTCACACAAACCTCCAAGCATTGCCGATAAGGCTTGCCCAACTTTTCGGCTTTCCATTTCGCCATAATCGCATTGACCACATCGCTCCAATCCGCAGGCCGCCTCCTTGGGCCTCCAAGTTGGCAGCCGTCAAATTGTTCTGTACCCAGTGACGTAGTATCCAGCTGGCCTCTGTAATCGCCCCCAGAGCCCAAGGAACACGAATGCGGTGGAGGAGCCATTCCCAAACTGCACGGGAAGCGCTGCCTACGAGATTCCTGCGTGCGTGTGTATGTATATTGTTTATGTGTATGTGAGTGTGTGTGTGTGTGTGCGTGAGCCCTCGCGCTCCGCACTCGTCGGCCAGTAGCTTGGTCTCGTCGCGTTGCTGCGCGATGGCCGCGACGCCAAAATGATTAACTGTGTGTACGTATGTGTGTGTGTGTTCGTGTGTATGTGTATGTGTGTGTGTGTGTGTGTGTCAGCCCTCTTCGGTCCTGTTGTCAATCCTGTTCGCCTTCTCGACCGCTATTGGGCCATGCCACTCTTAGACTCTCTAGAAACTCCCTTGGGGCCCGTGGGGGGGCCTCTTTGGGCCTCCATTGATGGCCTCACGGCAGCCCGCGTGACAGACTCGTAGGCCTGCTTGGGCCGTCTAGGAAGACTTACGTTGCATCGGAACGGCCTGTAAGGCCGTCTTGGGCTGAAGTCCCGTTGAGCTGTTCCCAACCATCCTGTGGCGTTGGCTTCTCATCTTGGATCAGCAGTGCCCGCATCTCCTCCTCCTCCTCCTCCCGCTCCTCCTTCTCCTCCTCCTGCTCCTCCTCCTGCTCCTCCTCCTCCTCCTCCTCCTCCCACCTCCTCCTCCTCCTCCCAGCTCCCTCTTCCTCGTCCCTGATTCTGCACTCCAGATCCCCTTTCCGTTCCTTGCCTGTGCTCTCCGCGTGTTTATCTCGGTGGCTCCATCAGAAATTCCAGCGAAGGCCCACGCCGCCGCTCATTCGGGCACACCCCTCACACGCATCGTGGCCAGCCAGGGAGCTCCACCAAAGGCCCTGGTGGGCGTGTTCGCACGCACCCCCGCCGCCCATGTCGCCACACCCCTCACACGTTGCGTGGCCCCGTGGCCACACTCAGCGCAGACCCTACTGAACATATTCGCATGCGCTTCCGCCGCGCATGTCGGCACACTCCATTAAAACATTCGTCGCCTCATCGGGAGCCCCACCTGCTGCCCCACCCGGCAAGGTCCGCATGCGCTCCAGCCCCTCATCTCGGCACGCCACTCGCACGCTTTGTGACATCATGGACAAGATCTCCAATCAAAACCCCTGGTTGTAATGCTCGCACTCGCTCACGACGCCCATTCCAGCACATCCCTCGAAGGTTGCGTCACCACACGCGAAACCCCACCGACGGCCCAAAAGATCATGTTCGCCCAAAATGCCTACTGCCAATTTCGGCAAACACATCGCCCGTTCCGTGGCCGTACTGGGAACTCAACCGAGGGCGCACATGGACCGATGCGCACGGCGTCCCCCCGTCCATCTCGGCTCACCCATCACACGCTTCGTGTCCCCGTGCGAAGCTCCACCGGAAGCTCCAGTGGCGCGATTCGCACGGCGTCCCACTCTCCATTTCGAGGACAGGGGATCGTGGAGTATGCGGTCTGTTGAACCCTTTCTTCG